AGTTTGCAAAATTCGAAGGAAAATTTACATTTAAAATTTTGATCAATATTTCATAATTTTAATAGGAAACAACCCAGTAAATAAAAAAAAAATGAAGTCTAGCAATGAAAAGAAAAGAAGAATCTTCGAGAATTAAACATTAACATTGTGTTTCTCAGTAAATTGCAACATATTTTCAATCTTTTTCTTTCCCCACTAATTATTTTGATCTATCAACACCCATTCAAAAGCAACAACAAGTTTTATTTTTCTTCTTCCTCTTCACACATCTTTCATTTTAACTCCTAACTGAAATTATATGAGATTTTACCGCACGAGCTGAATTGTTTTAATGCTAGTTATTTATCATTCATTATAATTAATTTCATTTATTTTATTTACGTTTATCATCATGATTCTAATTAAGTACAATATTTTAATTTTTGGATTTTTTATTGAATGAATTTGGCTTTTGTTGAAAATGAATTTAAATGAGTAATAATTCTGATTAAATAGATCATAATTTGTGTACAAACTGTCTACACAATAAATATTAGTATAGTTCACTTTTGCGCACCATTAATTTTTCATTTAAATTTTTTTAAATTTAAACTTTGCATAAATTAACTCCAGCAAATTTCAATGTTTGATATTGGAAAACTGCGCAACATTTCTTAAATGAATTATTGCTTTTAACAAAAATTTATCAGTAAATGTTCAAAGTTAATGAAATGATTCAAGGATAAAATATAATCATTCATTCTTTTTTTTAGAATATTTTTGAAACATTCATTTTGAATATTTATGCAATGTATGTCTGAATTAATTACTATTTCCGCTAATTGAAAATTTATTTGTTTTATATTGCATGATTCAATTAAATTGATGTTTTACTAATAGATCAATCGACCAGCTGTATAATCAATTAATGGTAACACTAATAGCAACATTGTTTTTGTTATTTTGAAAAATAAGACACAAAAATACTCAGATGAGAAATATTTAATATTAATTTTTTTTTAATAATTTCAATCAAATGCCTTAACAAAATTTTCCGTTTTTACCAAATTTTTTTATTAAAATATATGCTTATAGTCAAGTTTTCTCTTAGTACATCTTGAAATTTTTCGAAAAACAAGTTTATATTCCTGAAAAAATAAGAAATCAAAAAATTAAATTGAAATTTTACCAATCGAAGGAATCAAGAAATGATCAAAGCACCGGCCCTGTGGCCTAATGGATAAGGCGTCGGACTTCGGATCCGAAGATTGCAGGTTCAAGTCCTGCCAGGGTCGTCCCTATCAACATTGATCATAGAAAGAGTGGTCATTTTTCATTTTAGCATATAATTAAAATTGGGAAATATTGAACAAAAATATTGAAGAAATATTGAACAAAAATGTTCTTTCTTTTGAAGAAATGTTGAAAAAGTTTTTTCTTTTGAAAAGTTCAACTTTAATTTCATGTCTTATAGAATTTCTTGTTGCTGAATTTCGTAGTTGTTAGTTTTACTTTATTTATTACTCGTGTTTGAATTAAAAAAAATTTTCCCTTCCCTATTCTCTCTATATTAAATTTCATTCTAATTTCTAAATGGAAACTTTTTTAATTTGAATTTTATAGCAACAAATTGTTTACTATTTTGTTTTGGTTTTTTCTGTTTTTGTTTTGTAGGAGAGAAAAGCGAAAGACGATTATTCAAGAACAATATTGATTTATTCATTATCAATGGTGAAATGAATGAATCCGATGAATGAAGAGATATTGCTGATAAGTTTATAATAATGATATAGTAATGAATAATTTATAATAATGAATAATTTGATATGTACTATATCAAAGGATTTTAATGAAAATTTCCATTTTTATTTAATATAAATGGAGATTTTAAATTTAGAAGAAATTTTAATTTCGGCGAAATTTAAATCATATACAAATAATAAATTTAATGAAAATGATTTGTAAACTTCATGCTGATAATTGAGTTATTTCTATAATCTGAATATGAATTGTGAAAAAAAAAAAAATAATTAGCCAATTCAAAAATGATATTATCGCTTGGCTTAAATTATTAAGACATTAAGTAGCATTGTGTTTGATCAAATTAGTTAATTCAAAGTTTGTTTTTATTAATTTCTGTTTCAATATCAATTCAGAAAAAGGAAAAAAATAATGTATCCGCATAAATCTTAATTTGCTCAATTAATCACTGAGTATATAAATGATTGAATTTAAAATGATCGTATCTATTTACCTAATGATACTTTAAAGTCTTATCAAAATAAAATGCACCTGATCAGAATTTGTAATATAGTACTATTTTTTATCAGTTGTAAACAAAAAGAAGAAAACAAGTGAAGAAATTGAAAGGCATCAATGTTATTTTTAAATTTTAATGAAAAAAAAAAAATGTTTAGATAACATAATATTTAAATCTAAATTCCCTGAATTGGTTTAAATCTTAAAATATTTAATTGCTTCATTGTAAAAAAAAAAAAAACAAAAACAAAAAAGAAAGCATTTTTGCATACTTTAATTTTATTGTCAATAAATAGTAAATTTAAACTGAAATGATAAATTTATGCAATAATATAATAATCTTTTTATCTTATTGGAATTTGTAATGAGAATAAAAAAAAAAAAAAAAACAAACAAAATTTAAACAAAAATCAAATATAATCTGCTGCTGCTTTTTTTTTTTTTTTGTGTGTGTGTATGTAATATTAAATAATCAATTATTTGATACTATTTGAAGTAAAAATTTTTTGGTAAATAAGTTATGTCGAGATCAAAGATCAAACGAATGATATATTAATCAGTTAGTAAATGAATTAGCACCAAATAAATGCTAAATTTGCACAGCTTAAAATGAGAATTTCAACAAAATGTTGATGAAAAGAAAAAAAAAAGAAGGGAAAAAACCGATGGCATAGAGTTTCGGAGGAGTGCTTGTCAAAGCTTTTATCAGTGTACTTTATGCTCCTTGTGGTTGACACTGATATTGTCTTCCATCTTCCTTCTATTGCTATCAGTATCGGTAGATTGAAGCTTGCAGAATTTCTCATTTAACGCTGTATGCTTATTTATAAGTAAATGTGTACATGTATGTGTGTATGTGTATGTGTACATATGTATGTGTGTATGTGTATGTGTGTATATGCATATGTATGTGTTAAAATTTTCAAATTTTTTATCAAAAAAAAATTTTCAAAAAAAAAGTCATTGAAAATTTTTATAATTATGTGAAAAAAAAAAAAAAAAATGTATTAGCTTATTTTAACTGATTCATTAAAATATGAGAAAGGGAGAAAAAAGAAAAATTTTAATTTAATACAAAGTATTATTGTTTTTTTTTTTTACTGTGAAACAATTATTTTAAGATTATTTCAATCGTTACACAACCATTTGGATTAATTAATTTATTTTTTTTTTTCAAATGATTTGTTTATGTAAATGTTATTTAATGACTGTGTTACTTTAAATTATTCTTCCCTTTTTTCTTATTTAAAATCAACTTCACTTCATGTCATTCCTTATTATAAATTGTTATATAAAGTAATAAAAAATAAATTTTTTTTTTTTTTGAAATTAAATCTTTATACCATAAATTAAAAATTTTACTTGATGGCTAACTAATTTTGCCTTAACTACTCACTTTTTTCAAGTTAATTCTTACAAAAATTGATAAATAGTTTTATCACTTTTAAAAGTTTTAAAACCAATAAAGTATTTCAGGTTAACTTTTTTATGCCTTTAATTATTTTCAAATATTTTCTGCTTAAAATTTTCGAAATTGAATGATCAAAATAAATACGTTGCAGTTTTTTAGATAATTTTCTGTTTCTTAGTGGAAATTTGATAAAACATTTCTATTTTTCTTACCAATAATAAAAACGAAATGACGACAACATTTCCGGAATAGTTAAGCGAGTATATAATAAGCACCTGAATACATATACGGTTTTGATTTTTTTTTTTTTTTTATTTTTCACGCGAATTCAAATGAGTGAACAAAGAGAAAGAAAACAAAGTTCATCTTTTTGTAAATAAGTAAAATTTGAAACAAATTTTTTTTTTTCAAATATGCTTCTAACCTTTGAAATGATGAATATATAATTTATATTAACACAATCTTATGTACCAAATTAGAACTACAATAAAAAGTGAAATAATAATTAATAATTTAATATAATCAAAATGATGAACTGATAATATACTCAATTGAATTCTAAGTTGCAATAATAGAAACAATTATTATTTTTTATCTGATAAAATAAAAAGTAATCACAGCTAAAATAAAAAAAAAAAAATGCATAATTAGTAAATATTTTGTTACAGTACGCGTCTATATTTTAATCAAAATATTATCATGACTGATAACAAATTATCAAGTGAAATATGGCAGAAACAACAGTACAACCAATGTTTATCACTTCTCTCTCATATTTAACTAATCAATAAAATCATCATTACATGATTAATATAATAATATATATTAAAATTATTATATTTATATATTTAATTATTATATTTATTATTTATATATTAAATATAAGGTGTAGCAATGATAATTCCTTTTTTTTTGAAATATTAATAAAGTGCAAATAAAATATCTGAAATGTTAATTGCGATTATTTCTTTGCATATTCTTTTGGTTATTTCTAATTAATTTTTCAAGGTAATTAAATATGTATAATAAAATCAACTAATAACAATCTTACGTTTTGTTATTATTCAATCTTTTTTTCATCTTTCTTAAATTTGATTTGCATATACTCATATTTTTTTTATTAATACAAATCGGAGGTTTAATAAATGCTATTATTAATGTTATTAATTAATCATTTATCATTTATGCTTAATTAATCAATTCAATAATCAATGTATAATTTCATCAAATCGTAATTTATGGCATTTGATAACGATAATTATCGTGATACAACGATAAAAGTTTACCTTTAACTTGTCAAATTATTTATTTTTTTATTTTTTTTTTGCAGTAAAAAATTTTGCGAAAGAAAATGGATGAATTTACTATGCAAATAATTTGCGCTATTGCAATGTTTCTAACAACAGCAATTGCTGGTTTTGCTCCATTTAAGGTAAGTTTCAATAATTTTTAATAAGATTTTAAAAAGTTTATAATTGATTTGCAACTTTACAAAATTACTAATTTGGTAAAAAAAAATCTGATAAAATTGGTATTTTAATAAAATAAGAGAAATGTTTTTTTTAAAAAAGCTTCAATTCTTTTTTTCAAAAAGAATTCAGTAATATTGTTTGTTGAAAATTTCATTTCATTTCATCTGACTAATCATTTAACTAAAATTGAAAAATTTTTTTCATGCCTATTAATTAGTATTAATTAGTTAGGAATGGAGCAATTATTATTATTTCCTTAAATTTATTTAAATTTGTTTCAAGATTAGTCAATTAAGTGGAACAATTTGATAATTTAAGCCTCAATTTTGCCTATTTAATTTTTTTTTTTTTAAATAATAAAAATTAAATAACAAAAATCAATAATGGATTAATTTTAAATGTTTGAATTGTTTTGAAAGTATTAGAAGATAAAGCTAATAAAAATGATGAAATTAAATTTTTTTTTTTTTTTAATATCCAATCAATATATTAACAATATTCGGAAAAATTAATTTCATCCGGTTGCATTCAACTGGATTGATTTGACCGGATGATACCGATGATTGTTTATTGCTGAATTTTCAGCTTATGACAATGATTTCTTCAAATGGTGTGATGAGTCGACGAGCATCTATCATAATGTCCATAATGTCATGCTATGCTGGTGGCATCTTTCTAGCTACTTGCTTTCTGGATACATTACCACATCTTAAGTATGCTATCCTCATTTTTTTTTAAATTTCAAAATGAATAAATTAAAAATCAGAAGAAAAAAAGAAAGGGAAGAGAGAAAAGTAAATGTTGTAGCTGAAATTTTTTTTTTTCAAATATTTTTGCATAAATTTTTCCTCTCCTCTCACACTTTTATTAAACATAAAATTAATTAAATGAATAATTAAAATAATTGTTAGTGATATTATTGAAAAATTGTATTATTTAATTGCATATGTATTTAGCTGTAAAATGTTTTAAAATAATAAAATGAAACAATAAATGGTTCTTTTTTTTCGTAAATTTCTAATTTTCATTTTACTTAAAAAATAATAAGGCAAAAAAAAAAAAAAAATTATAATTTAGCATTATCTGTTAAGAGCTTTACTTGAAATTTACAGCATTTTATTTAAAAGCTCTGGTTTTTAAGCTAATTAATTAATTAATTAATTAATCATTTGGTTATTGACTGATAACATATAGTAATTAATAAGAATTTTTACAAGACTTGATTAAACAAAAATAAAAGTATTTATAAAAATAATCAGTAATTAATGAGGAAATATAAATAGTATGGGGATTTTCATGATCATTTATTTTCAAATAAAGGGGAGTAATTTAATTTATTTTAGAAATAATTTTAATGATTAAGATCAATCGAAAAAAAGAAAAAAAATTCGGTAATTTTCTTTTTCCTTTTTTCTTACTTACTTAAAATATCACCGATTGATTAACTGATTAATTGATAAAATTTAATACTTATTTATTTTAATATTATTTTCAGCGAAAATTTTAAAAAATTTAAAAAAATCACATCCTGGAATACAACATATCCGGTGCCAGAATTTCTTGTTTGCATTGGTATTTTATCTGTTTATGTTCTTGAAGAAATATTTACTTGGATTTTTTCAAGAACGAAAAAAAATCAGGGAAGCATGTAAGTAAAATATATTGTTTCTTCTTTTCTTTTAAAAAAAAATTCTCTCTCTTTCTTATTTTTTAATTCTTTTAAAATTAAAAAGTTCAATTAAAAAACTTTTTTTAAACATTTTTTTTTATATGTCATTATTTTGTAAAAAATTTTAAAAAGAGGAAAAAAAGGTAAAAAAAATGAGACATTATTATTATTTTTTTTTTTTTTTTTTTGAATTATTTGTCGTAAAATTATTATTTATAATTTAAGCATTATCAGATAAATAGGATGATGAGAAAATTATTATTTTTATTTTCGATAGACTAGAAAACATTGTAAAATTGAAATGCTACCTAGAATATTGGAAAAAAAAAAAAACTGAGTTTGTGAGTAAATATTCCAAATAATTTGTGCATAAAAATTTTTTATTATCATTTAATATTTGTAAACAAAAAAAAAGAAAAGTGAAAAATTTCGGAAAATTTTTCAAGAAAAAGCTATTTAAGAAAAACATGAAAAATTCATTTAGAAAAGAAACTGAAATGTTGAAATTATCAAAAGATAATGCTATGAAATTGGAACAAGAAATGGTATCATTACGTGAATATCAAGAAGTTGAAACAAAAGATATGGAAAGTAATGGTGAGATTATTAAGTAAGTTAAGTTACGTACGTACGTCATCATAAAAGAAAATCATTAAAGCGATTAAGCAGGTAAAGTTACGTACATTATCATAAAAGAATTTCATTAAAGTGAATTTAATTAATTTTTGTACGTCAGAAATAATACAAAAAAAAAAAAAATCTTTTAAATTAATTTGTATTTAAATTATTTTAATTAATCATTTTCAAATCTTGATGAATTGTTTATTTATTTATTTAATTGTAGATGATCATCTTCAAAGTTCACTACTTCATTCTAATATTTCAATTAAAAATTCTATCAGTTTTGTCGTGTTGAAGTTTCTGAATGCTTTGATAGTAATATTTTTTTTTTATATTTTTTTTTTTTGCAAAGGATAGATTTACTAAAAGGAACTGAAATAGTACTTAAATTTTTAGATTAACTCATATTTCTTCAAACTAAATTATATTATTGTACTACTATCTATATAATATTACAATAAAAATAACTGTTGCTAGTACAATAAAGAAAAAAAAAATTCAATTGTATTTGAATTAATGCTATTAATTTAAAATTTAAATTGCTTATTGTATATTGAAAATTTTGAATTAAAAACTTACTATTTTAGCTCAAATATTGAAGTAATTCGTAGCAGAAGTCGAAGTAATAGCAATTTAGCAAATGGTCTCATACATTCAATTACATTTACTATAGCAATGTCATTTCATTCGATACTTGAAGGAATTGCACTCGGTGTACAGGTTAATCATTTTAAAAAATTTTTAAATTTTTTAAAATCATATTTAGAATTTAAGAGAGAAACAGAAGTAAAAGGAGAGCGAGAGAGAGAGAGAGAGAAAGAAAGAAAAACAAATACACTAAAATATACGTTCTTTTTTCAATTTATTTTAATCTTTAAAAAATAAAATTGCATATTAACTAAAACAAAAAAAAAACACTTTTTAATCTGGTGACTAATCTGATGACTCATTCATAATTATTTTAATATTTCAAATATTTTATAGTTTTTTAATTTGATAACCATAATTTTTTAGCTATTTGACGTATAATTGAAAAAAAATTTTTAAACAAATAAATGAATAATAATAAATGAAATTAAATACTTAAATGTTGTCAAGGATAAAAAGTTAAATGTTATAAAAAATTTTATATTACAATTCTTTTTTTATAATAAAAATATTTGCAATAATTCAAAAATATATGGTTTTTATTAGTTTCAATTTTAGATCATATTTTAAATAGAATTTTTTTCTTGCACATTTGAAATACTAGAAAAGTTTGTTGTATTAATAATGCAATTTAAATCTATTCAACTGACTTAGAAATGCAAAATATTACTTAAATAATTAATTATTTGAATGTACACAAATAATCTAATATTCTCTAAATGGTATGCAGTTACTTGCTAGAAACTTCAACAAAATTTATGATATTATATAAATAATTATTATAAATAAACAATTACTGAAATATATATGCTTAAATTAATTGACTTCGATATAATAAATAATAGTAAAAAAAATAATAATATGAATAATAAAAAATAATGACAAACAGATAACTGATTAACTGATTGATTGATTTATTGATTGATTGAGTTTCTTCTTTTTTTTTTTGATTTTGGATTGAAGATTAGTAGAATTATTTGTTAGATTAATCTTACAAGTATTGCAAAAAAAGAAAAAAGGAAAAAAAATAAAAAACAGAAACAAGTAAACAAGCAAATATGCCATTAAAAAATATTAAATTTCGGAGCTATTTAATTCTTTTTTTAAAAAATAGAGAGAAAACACAAATTTTTTTTCTTATCTTACATTTGAAATTGATAATTTCTCGCACATATGTTTTTTTTTTTTCTTTTATAATTTAACTTTCTAAAAATTTTTAGGACGAAAAGTTTGGCATTATTACATTGTTTATATCACTTCTGCTGCATAAAGGTATCGAAGCATTTAGCGTTGGCCTACAAATTTCACGGACAATTGCGCAACAAGTTAAAATTGTTATTGCAACAATAACTATTTATTCATTAATGACACCAATTGGATCATTTGCTGGATTAATTTTACAGGTAATGCAACAGAAAAAAAAAAAAGAAAATTGATTATTATTTTAAAATAACTTTTTTAATTTTATATTGAACTTTTCCTCAGAAAAAAAGAAAATTATTGTCTTCAATTTTAAATTAATAGATTTATATGTAATTGAAGATATTTATTTATTAAAAAAATGACACAACTAAAATAATAGCTTAAAAATTGATATGCTATTATATCATAGCATATTTAATTAAATATTTCAAAGTTATTATAACTTATTTTAATAAATACTTTAAAATTGTTAGAAGTTATATTGTTAATTATTAAAAGAAAAATTTTCAGAGTGTTAATATGAATGAATCTTGGCGACAAGGTATTATAATGGTTCTTGAAGGAATTGCTATTGGAACATTCATTTTTGTGACATTTTTAGAGGTAGATAATTTAATTTTTGTAATAATTAATTAAACAAATTTAAAATAAACTAATGTGATAGATTCTAAATTATTTTAAGCAAAAAAAGAGAGAAAAATGAAATATGAATGAAATTTTAATTAAGCAATTTGTATTTACATAAAAAAATGATTTAAAATAAGTGAATTTTAAAATATTTTGAATAACTTTTTATTTTATCACTTAAATTGAATAATAATTGAAATTTATTTTTTAGGTTTTATTTGAACAAAGAAATGATTCAAAAGCAATAAGAGAAGAAATAATTGCAATTGCATTAGGTGTTTTAACAATTAGTGGTTTTCAATATTTTGAAGGAAATTTTCGTACTATGGATCAGCAGAATATAATTAATTCAAATTCTGCCAAATAATACTTTTCCATCTTTTATTCCAATTCTTTTTTCCAACATTTTAAAATTTAACATAGATGAAAAAAAAATTTTAATTTTCAAATAACAGCTGAAATACTATTACATCTCTAAAGAAATATTTTATTATGTAAATTTAAAGATTTCATCAATTTCTTACTTCCAATTTTTTTTAAAATAAATTCTCAAATTATCAAATTAAATTTTGATTTTTATAAATTTATTGGTAATTAATGACGAAAAAAATTCCGTTTTTTTTTAAAGGTATTTTGTATTTTTAAGGAAAAATTTTAACAATCCAATTTTTCCTACCTCATTTCTATCATTTGGTTTTTTTTTTTTTAGCATAGTAATTTTTTTTAATTCTTCATTTACCGTATTTTAAATCAAATAAATTGCATTTGTATGCCATATGACTAATAAATAGGTTAAAATGAAATTTTTAAAAAATATTTACTGCAGCAAATCCAGGATTGCCTTTTTTTTTTTTTTTTTGCTCAATTTCAGGTTACCTTTTACAGTATGTTTTAATTGTTGACCTTATACTATCATGTGATGACAAATTTAATTTCAATTTTTAATAATCATTTCCTATTTACTGCTATAATTTTCCAATATGATTACGGATGTTTATTTCATTTTTATTAAATCTACAATTCCAATTCATTACATGCATTTTTTGTGGTTTTTTTTTTTACTTAATTTTTAACTTAATTAATTAAATAGAAAGAATTTCCAATTTTTAAGCAAAAGTAGTAATTATATTTGTCAAAATTATGAAATGTTATCTTGAATTTAAGATTAATTTTTGGTATAATTTATGATAAATTTTGAAATGAATATATTTCCATTGTTTTGTTAGAATTTTCAAGTCAGTTTTTTGAAATTTTAATACTTTCTTTGAGCAGAATTTTAACTTACAATTAGAGAAAAAAAAGAAAAAAAAATGATTTGATAAATAAAATAAATTTAATTCATTTTCTAAATGAACACATATGCTATTGAATCGCTTATCATTGCTAAATTGAAACATATGTGATGGTACTATTCTGATCTAATGTTATGTTGATTGTAACAAATAATTGTGTAAACAATTTGTTATAGTTTTATGTTGAAATAAAAAAAAAAATTCAATTGAAATTATTTGAAGGAAAGATAATTAAGTATTACTTAAAATAATAAAAATATCTCACATGTAGCAAAAACAAAAACTAAAATTGAATAAAATCAATTTAAGCATTATCAAAATTCTATATTTTGATAATTAAACAAAAATGAAACAAAAAATTTCTACAGAATAAATTTTGAATTTTCAAATATTTAATCTTAAGTAAAAGAATTTTAGTTTTATTAGAAGTTAAAAACTACATTTTAATTTTAATGAAAGAATTGAACTTTAACAAATATTATAAGGGAACAAAAAAGTTTTGATACATCTATCACGGCTTCAATTCATTTATTATATTACTATTTCGATACGCTCATCAAAACTATAATTATTTTATAAAAAAAAAAAAAATAAAAATTTTTGAAATTTATTTTGAAATTCAAACAGAAACAAAATTTCTGATTTAAAATTAAGTGAAAATTTATAATTTGAAATGAAAAATGAAGAGATGATAGAGCGATTCTATTTTTTGCTGATTTTCATTTTTTTTTTTCCATATTGTAAATGAATATATATGATCGAATGAAATCACTTTGTACATTTAATTTGAAATTAAAACTAATGAAAGAATTAGATGATTTTGTTAGAAAATAATATTAGAAAAATAAAATTTATTAAAATATGTATTTTGAAGTTAAATAATTATTTTATTTGAATTGCATATGATCTGCTCGCTTCTTGTTGTGATTATTTGACAATACAAAAAGAAAATAGTAAATTAAAAATTTCACATTATAACAATATTTAAATTGAGATATATATTTAAGCTTGAAAAATCAAAACCGAAAATCAAAACATTTTGTAATTCAAGGAAATAAAATTGAGAATAATTTTATTCATTAATTATTATTTTTTTAACTCAAATAAAATGATCAAAAATTTAATTAATCGATAAAATGAATTTTTTTTTTTTTTTTTTTTGTGCCTAATTAACAAATTTTTTAATCTCTCCTCACATGCTGTGATGTAATTTTGACCAAAATAACCAAACCAAAAAAATTAGCACCGTTTTCTCTTGTTGCACAATAGAATTTTGAAATTGAAAAATAGACTTGACTGATATTAATTTTGATATTTAATTTTGAAATTGAAAAATAGATTTTACTGATATTAATTTTGATATTTAATTTTGAAATTGAAAAATAGATTTTACTGATATTAATTTTGATATTTAAATTTGAAATTGAAAAATAGATTTTACTGATATTAATTTTGATATTTAATTTTGAAATTGAAAAATAGATTTTACTGATATTAATTTTGATATTTAATTAAATTTGCATGTATAAACTTAAGCGTGGTTTATTTGAGAACGAGCAATTATAATTTTGCATTTTGCACAAAAGATTTTAATTAAGTCTGATTGTCGTCAGATATTAACTAAGTGACAAAATCTATTTGACAGGAACAAAATGAAAGAAAAATTTTTTATTCTAGAAATAATAAAATAACCTTAGCATTAAAAATCAACTGATCGAAATAAAAAAAAAAAAAAATTCTTCAAAAAGCTTTCTGTCATTCTGTGAGAGTTTAAAGGAATTTTCGTGGCTTATCTCGCAGTTTTCGAAATGCATTTAGGTTACTCTTTTTATGTGCAAAAAAAGTGAATATTAATTGAAAACAAAATATTAATTTTTTTCAATTATAATTTTATTACTAAGACAAAAAAAAAAGTAATACATTTTTCTGGATAACACGTTGAACTCAATGATTTTATGAAAAATTTTAGAACAAAGTATTTCTTTCTTTCTCTTTTTTTGTTTTTTCTACGATATGCAAAAAGTGAGATCTCGAATATTTCCAAATTCAATATTAATATTAGCCATAGATGACAGATAAAAAGCAAAAATGGACACATTTTGTTTAAGATTAAATTATATATAAGAATTAATAAAAATTAAATAATAATAATATAATATATAATAATAATAATAATAATAATAATAATAATAATAATAATAATAATAATAATAATAATAATAATAATAATAATAATAATAATAATAATAATAATAATAATAATAATAATAATAATAATAATAATAATAATAATAATAATAATAATAATAATAATAATAATAATAATAATAATAATAATAATAATAGTAATAATAATAATAATAACAATAATCATAATAATGTTAAATATTCGAAATGTTAGATTTTGATCATTCATTTGCTCAATTCAAAAAAAAGAAAAAAAATAAACATTGTTGCAAAGCATCAATGTTTGCATTACGAATTTGCTCAATGAAATTGTTTATATGTTAATTAATTGATTTGTCATTTATTAATTTCGTGATGTTTACTGATTGCTTACAGACTTTTGTTAATTTATTGATTTGTCACTTGTTTACTGATAAGCAATGCGTAGAACACGTTTCCGTCAATATTTGCAGCACGTTGAAAGCATAATGAATGTAAAGTGTCTTCCAAATTGAACGGTTTCGGGGTTGGGGTTGACTGCCGTTGAGGCTTGCGTAAGAAAATGCGTGGAGCGTAGGTTGATACTGATAGGTTTCACTTTTGGTATTGTTGAGGACAGTGGTGACAAACGTGTCGACGTATTAAGCGTACTACATATAGAAAATGGAGGACGTGAATGCAGAAACGTGTTTAACGTCATAATTTGCATAGTACTGTCGTGTTGTCTACTATCTGATACTTGAGTGCATTATTGTGCTGAATGCATGATTGCAATATCTAATTATTATTGCCATTAACGTGCTATGAAAATGCGTACCGTCTATGCGTCATCTTTACGTCAGGAAACAACGCAAATGTAAGTTTCAATAATAATAATTATTATAGTAATAATAACTAGATGAACTAGTGTTCATCTAGTTCACTGAGAGTTAATTATCGATTGAAGAAAGTTATTTACTAATAATAATCTTCGGAGATAAATCAAATAGAAGAGTAAATAATTACAACAAAAATTAAATCTAAATTTATTACAAAACCATAATGGTTTTTATGGTTTAAGAAAGTTTGCTATAACATTATTAATTCTTTGATTCTGTAAAGGCGTTACGAATGATACAAATTTGATCAGAAGTTTTACAAATTAATAATTCAGACAATGATTAATAGAAAAAAAAAGCATATCGATTCTTATTCTCCTTTTTCTTTTCTTTTTTTTGCGAGAAAAATCGGTGAGCATTAAAAATCTCAACAAAGCAAGAAACTGCGAAAGATCTTTTTGGAAGGCTTAATTATAACAATATACATTTATTTTACATATTTTTTACTTTTCCTGTGGTGTATTATGTTGATTTAACATGAGTATCCAAAATGGATGTAAAATGCATATTTATAACACATCGGCTTGTACTATTATCGCATGATTCACGGTTTTATTAACTGATTTGATTTAAACTGGAAGACTTTTTGATGCTTGATACTTGTTATTGTATTCTTTTAATTAATGACGATCACCTCTTTTAGGTGAAACTTTTTTTTTTTTCAGATCCAAGAAATGTCACATCTGTGCGTATTTTTTGCTTTGTATATAAACTTATATGTGTATATGAAGTGCATAAAATATAGTGCTTAATTTGAAATTAGTTGAATTTTCATTCATTTGATATAAATTCATATATTTCAATTATTTGTTTGCTACTGTTTTTATGCATACTGCTTGAATATCGACTATATATACAATGAAGTCCATCAAATTAAAGAATACAAAAACAACACTGATTTGCAAAAATGCCTAAATCATTTATTGTCGAATGAAAAAAATGGTACGTGTAACGTAATCATCTTATGGGATGGATGTTTTATTCCTGTGATTATTCTCCAACCCTTTTAATTATAGCTTCCTCAGTCATCAGCAAAATATAACGCTGTATGAGAAATGTTGAAGAGAACTCTCTGATTCTGAAGAACAGTGTACAAAAAGACAAGTGTGGTAGTGCGCTAATGACCCGTAAAAAACAATATTTTCGAAAATAGGTGGGATGACCTCAAGAAATGTAGTCTTCCTTATCTTAAATTTTACTTCCGATCCCATAGTTAAAAAAAAAAAAAAAAAGAAAATAAAGAATTAATGAAATGCGCAACGGTGTCACCAAAACTTATTGAGAATAAGTAACTCCAAAGAAGAAGCTAAAACGAATGTATGTTTATTTAAAGATAGACCTTTATACAATCAAATAGAATGGTCACTGGTGAATGGCAATATTCTGTGGTCGGTGTAGAAATCAACTGATGATGAACGTGCCAAAATGTTCATATCAACATTGTCACAGCTGAAATATAATGCAAATCGATGAGAATAACAAAATATCGAAAAATTTACGAAATAGAACAAATAAAAACAAAAGTGAAAAGTGGCAATTATTGAAAACTTAATTTTCAAATTTTTAAAATCATAATAAAAGGAACTAACATGGATAATCCCGAATTTATTGTAAAATCACGCAACCCATCAATCTGACGCAAATCATTCTCTATCGCTCTAATATCACCATCAAAGGAATCGTGGAAAACACAACCATTCTCAGTTTCGGTCCAATTAATAAAATGATTCCGTTTGGTTGAAATTAATAGTTTAGGTCGTTTCAAATTCAAGCGTTGCAGATTTTCAATATTAACCTGAAAATTACTTTCGGAATATTTTTATACTTGCCCGTCAAATTAACAGCATAATTCTCAACAAACCTGTTAAAGTGCTAAAACTTCAATTTCTTCTCTTTGTTGGTATAACATCTTTCAGAGTTTGTTAAATTTTCTTGTCATCAATTCGACAATTTTTAAAGTTTTTCACTAATTATTTCCATTAAATGGTTCGACATATTCATCAAAATTGAAATTAAAAATCATTCAGACGAATTCTGAGCAATATTCTCGATGAAACAATATTATGTTTATTTTCGATTAACGATACTTCATTCGTATGAAGTATGAGAAGACGCAAATCCGGCAAATCATTGTCATCTAGATTATTCCAGACTTCGTCTTTATAACAATCCCCGAAATTGCTTAGATCCAGAAAAACTAAATGCCTGAAACAAAAATACTTGCAATTATTATTAAACTTTCCATACAAGAGAACTTTACAGCATCTGAAACGGAAAGAACTGCAGCTTAATCTTTGAACGTTAAAAGGACTAACAAAAAACAGGAAAGGAGCACTCTGATAAAGAGATTATAAAAAAGAACTTACTTACTTGAAATTACTAACAATGAAAGGCATAACTCCATCATTGAACGTTAAATATTCATTGAATGGCAAACCCAGTGTTTTCAAATTTGGACAACTGCAACAATTTATAACATATTGTAATATAAAACCATAAAATAAACTATTTACTATTGTATATTTATCCTTCCTTATATACAAATATGTTCATACAGAAAATTAACTCACTTCCGATCAATGACTCTAAACAGATCGACTGTGCCTTCCAAGTAATTCGACATTACTAAATGCCTAAGTTTGTATGGGAATGATTTTTCAGGTTCCTTCTCTGGCAAAGTGAATAATTCAATTAACCCATCGGGCGAAACATTACAATCTTGTCCGCCAAACCATACCCGTAACTCCTCCAAATTGTACAATTTCTGCAATATTCATATAGTTTAGAAAACCGAAAGAGTATTTCACTCACATTTCATAACGACTCCTGTAAAATCGATAGTCAAAATCATGCATTACGATACTTGTATTGAAATATACAGAAATATTAAAACTTTTTTCAATTTCGAAAACATCAGATCAAAGTAAACTCAGAATGAGCACTGTGCACTGAGACAATCAATTTATCCGATAAAATTCCTAAACGTATATACCATTAATTTATTCTCATATTTTTATGCTATTGCAATATCATTTTTCTTACCTTTATATGCGCAAACTCTTCATCAAAAGTGTAGAGGCTCAAACCCCATGAAAATACTTTCAAATTATGCAAAAGACCAATGTATTCAATGTGTTCATTTCTAATATAAGATCCGAGATGAAGCTCGGTAAGAGTAGACCTCCACGGAGAGGTTGTAATCTTGCTGAAACTGAAAAGTAGAAAAAGTAGAAAAGAAATATTAATAAATATGTTCACAATATTATTAAATATTATTAAAATACAGCAGGCCTTAATACCTAATGAACGGAGTAGCTTAAACCTGAACGACCAACCAACAATCAACCTACCTATGACATAGTTTTTTAAAAAAGATGGAAATTGGCGTTTAATGCGTAATTTATACTAAGGAATTTTAGAGAAAAAGACTTACTCAGTCTCAGCTACTCCGTCGTAAATATGTAATAAATTCAGCGGACGTTTACAAGCCGGCAATTTTGGATTACTTTCCTGACAGTATGCCCTTACGTCACCAAAGAAAAAATTCTGCACCTTCGGAAAAATGCTTTCATCTTCGAATAACATTTCCAACGTATTTCTCCATTCGTCTGCATTATCACACTTTGGACTCTAAAAAATAAGATAAGCAAATCATTACTGACATTATTCCCAAACCAAAACCGACTAGTGAATGGAATTCGAACTGCAACGTTAAGCAATGAAACATTAATTACTCAAAACAAACAGCAGTGAAATATTTACAGTCATAACAATAGCAATACTAAAAATTGTGATACTCAAAGTGGTGTCAATGAGACACTTTATCAAAGTTGTCATTTTTTTCAAACTTATAACTTCACCCCCCTTATGAAATATAAGTCATACCTTTCCCACTCTTTCCATATGCAATGTTTTAACATTCGGGAAACTACTTGACAATTTTTTCAACAATGTAGTATTCATTTCTGCAAAATATTACCGTTTAACAGAAACAGAAAAAAAGCGCTTTTTTCTTCTTAGAAAAAAAAAATGGATTTTAGAATGGATTTAAGAAATTTTAAGAAAATCAACTCCTATAATTTCTCTTGATTTAATTTGATTTTAATCTGTACCCTTAAAAGAGCCAATATCGAGATGGATTACATTAGGAAAACAAATTTCGAATAATGCGTTCACTTTGGAGGATGGCAATGGCATAGAACAATCAATACACAATTTTCGAAGACACTGTGAGGTCTGAAAACATATAAAAAAGTGGATGCATATTAACATACTAACTCATCAATTAACAAAAATAAAAAGAAACAGAAGGAAAAGGACATAAATCAAGATGATAAGACTGTCTTCACAGTTCGATTAATTACGATCAATAAACTGCAAATACTTTCTTCACTGATTATCATACGTTATTTGACATAAATTCATTTGCCAAAACTTACTCTACGGAAGAATTTTTTCACACTGCCATATTTCAACGAAATATCGTTAATTAACACCCGAACTTCGGTGAAAAAAGCAGAATGATTCGCCAGATAATTCCAACGGTGACAAACCAAAGAGAAACAGTGGACCAAATCAATTGGATGGCAATAAGCAAATATTGTCAACAATATATCATTCGACAAATCGTTAATTGTTACCTTAATAAATTACTTACGACTGAAAGACTTTTCACTGGGATCGTTTGCAATGCACCATAATAATGAAAACTTCCGAATATTCACCTTCTTGCTATCTGAATCAGCTTCAAGTTGACTAATATCCATTTCACTTCCGGTCGAAGGCTGGAAAATTTCTATTTAATATTTTATTGAAGAGTGAAACAAAAAGAGAGCAGAAATTTGCACCGATAAGAAAAATGGATTACTTGTGATTTCTGACTAGTGATCTTGTGTCGTGCAGATGAATAAGAGGAATGACCAAGTTGTATCAATGGATAGTATGTTTGCATCCGATGAGCACGAGTCCTAAAATTGACTAAGAACCCAGTAAAACTGTCTTGTACAGTCTAATATTCGATGAGAGTGGATTTTGTGGCAGATAACAGTCTTAAAACTCCTGAGAATTTTACAACTCTTTCCAACATTTTTAATAGCACAAGAAAACTTACGTCTCAAAAAACTTATATCTTCCGTCTATCGTATCGTATTTATGCGACACAGGCCGATATCGCCCAGGCGATTCTGTTATTGCATCCATTCTAAAATAATTATTGAACGTATAACGGAAGCAGAAATTAATTCATTAAGCAATTTTCACTGAAATTTCATTCTTAAAAGCAAAACACTGTCATTTTGCACACAAAACTGAGCACTTATATTTCAATTAAATAAAAAATTAGTAAAAAGCAAATAAATGAAGACTTTTAATACGTCCGAACAGCACGAATTCATCATAACGCGTAAATGACAGAAATGAAATGACACATTTGACATCCGCCTGTGATCACAATGACTCATCAAATGTGCTCAACACTTGCAGCAGTAAATAATTTTTAAAATTCAAAAATCAAATTAATAAAAGGAATAAAATGAGAGGAGCAAATTAAAAATGAAGTGAATTTGTGAGAAAAAATGGAATATAAATTAAAAATTAAACCAATGGCAGTGTTAATGCCAATTATTATGTTATTATTTTTTATTTATTTTATTATTATTCTTATTACTATTACTAATTGTTATCATTTTTATTGCATGTTATTATTGTTATTAATTGTTGCTATTTATTATTCATTAATTATTATTATTATTATTGTATACACTGCCTGACAGATGCTCAAAACTTCGGTGTTGTGTGTGTAAATAATTTTCGAAATTTAAAAAGCAAATTAATAAAAAGAATAAAATGAGAAAAGGAAATTAAAAATAGGATGAGTTTATGAGGAAAATTGGCATATAAATAAATTAAAAAAAGATGCAAAAAACTAAAATTAAGCATAAACATTTGATTCCTTGACATTACATGCATCAAAAATATTTATTAGCTAATAATTAAAATACAAATAAATTAACACCACAAATAAACTTATAATATTTTTCTATGAATATGAGATAACGAAATACAATCAATAAAAATTATTTAAAAAAAGAAATTGGATATGACGAATTGCGCGTCAACGATCGTATTTGATTGTTGATAAAACTATGCACTCTTGAACATAAGTGACCTTACGTGACCTCCTTATATAGCTAATAAATGAAATATATAATTTACAATAAAAAATTCATTTGCAAAAGAGATTAATCGAACAAAAAAGAGCTGTTAATCTCGTTTACAATTCATTAGAAAGATAAATGCAAGATTTTTTTTCCTTATATGAAATAAGACAATCCTAAGTTTTATGAGGGTAATGAAATTTTATTTCATATAATTTGAAGTTATTTGGAGGTTCACAGGACTTATTTCTTATCCTTGCAACAATCCTATCTAAAAGAGTTACAAGATTTAAGATGGTTGGATATCTTTGTTTTTTTTTTTTTTTTTAAGTTTTTCATTTCCAGTTCGTCGAGTTCATCAATATTTTGAATTAATTTGTGGAATACTGTTGGTTGAGAAATCGAATTTCTTTTGTGAGTATAGCATATTCACAGATCAGCTGAGATTTTTTTCTTATGGTAATTCCACTGAGATATTTCTTACTTTTCCATCCTTTCTTTTTTTAAATTCTTTTTTATTCTAGCTAGTTTCCACATATCACGGGAAATTTCTGATTCATTGACTAGCACAATCTCATCCTCATCGAGAATTCTTGTTATTAAATTTCTTGGAAAAGAATGTTCGCTTTTGGATTCTTTCTCGAAAGCTCCTCGAAAGTCAAATACTCATTTCTCCAATGTATTTCAATATGTACCTAAAGCTTTGCGAGTATTTAACCAATACTTAATAAATTTCTCTTTGGTATTTGATTTCTGTGAAGAAAATTCTTCCACGTTATTATCGTTAAAGATTGAAACATTGAGGGAAGCATTTAGGTTAAATGAAATGAATTGAGTGTATGATTAAACAATCTTCAAAATTTACATAAGCTAGCGAAACGAGTATTTAATATGTTCTATTAATATTATTAATTAATTCTCTTTCCCATAGCAACTTTTTACCGATCTTTGGCTTTTCTTATTGTACTTTTGATTATTCCAACCACTTTTTTTTTTTTTTCATAAATTCCTTCACCCTGCGGAACTCTTGAAAACTATAGGAAGTAAAATCAAGTTTCTTTATTTTTGTCTTTATTTTTTTGTCAGTCTTTCTTACAGCTAATCATTATGATTTCTTCACTATAAATTACTGCAAATATTTTAACTCTAAAAGCCTATGCAGCACATATTTTCTACAATTTCTGTATTTATTATATTCAATCTTATATTTAAGGTAGTAAATAACTGACTAATGTAAATATTAGCACTTATAAGGCTTTGATAGAGTTACTATCTAATTGGGTAATAAATTTGTATTCTTATCAAGCTTTATTTGCGACAGTAAAAGATATGATTGATGTGTATGTGCTAGATTCGTTGATACTAAAAATAAAAGAATCAAGAAAAGCTTAAAGATGACAAGAAACAAGAGTAATACCTATGTTTTAGTTTAAGAGGTAAGGAAATTGGCAACTTTTAGTGCATATTCTATACCATCTACTCTCGAGTTTGCTACTAAACTTTATAAAATTATACAATGCAAAATCCATACAAACTAATCCAATAATTTTCCCAATTACTGCTTTTATAAGCATTTCTAGAATATAAAATACAATACTAACCAAATACTACTACCAACCCGAGATATCTGTCTTTCCTGAATTGCTTTTATTTATGATTCTTCATCTGTGGAATTCCTTTTGTCAGATCCACTATCAAAACATGGCTTTATTGCAGTAGAACAGTCTTCAGCTTCTGATGAACAGTTCCTGTTGAAAGTGCTGATCAAGAGTAAGTGATATTGCCTTTTTCTTTGTTAATGACTCAAATATCACTAAGATCTTAAAATTCTTCCCCGCTTAGACATAATAGCAGCAAACTCGTATCTTGTTATTATCAGTCAGCTTTTCGTATTTTTATCTGTTTCGTATTTGCAAATTATATAACTTACAATTAAAAACTGTGGAAATGTTAAGCTCAATAACACCTAATATAATGGCTGTAAAGTGAAAATATCAAATCAATAATGCATTGAATGAGAGTGATAATACATTAATTAAAATAAGCGATGAATTAATTAAAATTAATAATTCATTAAAATTTATAATTGCACTTAAAATAGATCCCCGAATTACCGACGCATAAACTGAAATTACTAATGCATTAACTGAAATCGATAAGACACTAATCGCAGAACTACTGATGCATTAATTGAAATTAATAATGAACGAATCGGAATTAATAATGAATTAATTGAAATTCACAATTTGAAATGTATCTCCCAATCAATAATGCATTAATCGAGATTAGTAATAAATTAATTGAAATTAATAATAAATTAACTGAAATTTGTAAAAAATTAATCAAAATCAATAATGCATTAATTGAAACTAATAATGTGTTAATTTCGTTACAATAATTTGTCGAAATCAGAATAACTACTAATTTCAATCCCACATATAATTCAAAGTTCGAGATTATCAATTTCACATTATCACTAACATTTGGTCGGAGTTGCACATTTCGCGGCTTATACCAAAATGTTCGGTGAGATTTCCGGAATTGTATTCCGTATTCCATTCCATTTTTATGTTCCACTTTTTTATATTTCACGTTTTTTTTTATTTCATTTGTATCCTATTTTTATTCCATTTCTTTTACACATTCTATTTTTTCTTTTCAAACTTAATAGGATGGCTATGATATGATATTAGGTGCTGAATAGCTGATAATGTAATAGTGTCTGGGCGCAAATGTAATGTGTAATAAAAGAATAATTTAGTAAAAATTAGAAAGGAAATGGTTAATTGATGTAAAAAGAAGTTAATTAAAGATTTGAAGTTAATTAATTAGTGGAAATTAGAAAAAAAGATGAAAATTAATTAATTAATTAGTTGATGGAGATTGGAGAAAAAGATATGGAATATTCCCATGATCAGCTAGAAAGATTGTTGATTTTTCTAAAAAAAATATGAAAAGATATGAGTGATAAAAAAAATGGAATAAGAATTTTGAAAATATGTAGTTATGAAAAATTTTGCATAAGATATAAATTAATAGGAATTGCATAGAATGATATAATTTTAGTATCTTTGTATTTTTTTTTTTTTTGTCCTTTAATTAGTTTCATATGTCATTTTTATTTTTTTCTTCCATTTGTTTTATAAAAAAATATTACGTCAGGTTGTAGTGATGATTATAATTTCCGGACATTATTATAAATTTAATTACTGTAAAAGTATTTTTTTTCGGTTGATAGCATTTAATATACTTATAATATTGTTTGTTATTTGTTATATATTATACATTATATTAGTATTTTTGTATTTTTTTCCCACATTATTTAGTGTATATATGATATTATACAGTAATACCGAGTAATATTATACAGTAATAGCAAATAATATTGTACAGTAATAATTGATAAATGATATTTTCCAATATTATATAGTGTATATGTAATATTCATTTATGCACAAACAGTATTCTATATGATATTTTGTTCAATACAGTAGATGAAAATTTGCACTTTTTGCAAGAATACGGTATCAGAAAGTATACAGTAATATTTATTATGCTTTAGATAACATTGTACAGTATGAATTTCTATATAATGTAATCCATCCATTCAGTGATGAAAATGAAATGCTATTATATTTGTTTTTTTTTTTTTTTTTTTTTTTTTGAGCGATAGGTTTTTTTAATATTTCAGAAAGATATATATATATATATATATATATATATATATATATATATATATATATATATTATTGTAGAAAGTAGCGAGATAATTGGTTTATCAGTTTTATTATTATGGAATCACCATCTTGGATGTTCAGTAAAGCATTATCACATCGCCAGAAAGTATGTCGATTATTCAAACGGGCTATGCGTGAAGTAGATGGTTATTATGGCATGGATGTGTAAGTTTTTTATTCTTTCTAATTTGATTGATATGAGAAGAGTTAAATTTGATATGTTAATATAATGGCATAAATTAATTGAAAGAAATTTGTGTGAACTTACTTCAGCTGATGGTGATAGAGTTGAGCATAACTATGAATTTAAGTGATTTATTGTAAATTCTTTCCGATCAATAAGTGAGACATTATTGCGCCAAAAAAAAAAAGAAAAAAAAAAGAATATTTTTCTGCAGGAAATACTTTTTAATTCCAATTAACTCTATCACTATAAGCTATTTAATTTCGATTTGAAAATATTTCTTTCTGTCATAAATTTTTATTTAAAATTATCATTCTCTTTAAAACTTGGGACAGTACGGAGCAAATTTCTTCTCTTCAAAGAAAAATTATTTTCAAAATTTAAAAAAAAAATTAAGAGTAGCAGGCTGAATCATTTTATACTTTTCTTTTACTCCACATAAATCTTTTTTTGTTTGCTCTAGAAAAGAAAAATTAGATTTACAGCTTTTTTTTTTGCATACTTTTTTCGAATAATCTTTTGAATTTTCAGTTTGGAAGCTCGTTACCAAAAGGTAATAATGCGAGCTCGTTTTGATGCGTACAAGGAAGAAAGTGATCCTGACAAAGCTCGATTGATATATTTGGATGGTTGTCGTCAAGTATGGGAACGGAAGCATTGGACCACTTTTCGTTGTAAGTTTTCCTTTTGTTTTTATAATGAATGTCTTTATTAGAATTATGTCCAGATTGGCTCATAAAAATGAATGATAACTTTTTGTTTATTCCTTAGTAATATTTTGACTCTGTTGGGTGAATAAATGTCAGTGTCAACTAATCTTTGCATATTAAATTATTTGATTTTTTTAATATTTTTTTTCCTTATCATATGGAATTAGTTGTGCTACTGATAGTCTTAAATTGCAAGAGTAAGAAAGGGCTATAAAATCATCGTTGCCAGTAGGGATGGTATATTAGTTGAACACTTAGCTGATTCAACTGGATTTTATTAAATTATATGAGTGATTGAGATTACTAAATTAGCGCTGTAATTTTGTGTCGATCTGCGCTAAACTGTAGTAATTTAAATTTTTGGAGGCAATAAAACTTATTAAATTGCAGCAAATTATTGAGAATTTTGCGATATTAGATTAATTGTGAATGCTATAAAGAATAATTTCTAAACAACTGGAAAAATTTTTTTCCATTTTACAGTTGCCTCAGATATCGGTGGTGCGGCATATAATCGTGATACGCATAATATGCCTGATGCGGTAAGTTTCACATTTTCAAATTCAAATCAGTATGGTACTTTATGGACTTTTATAAGAAAAGATCATCCGATTATTCCATCTATACATATTTGGATAACAGAATATTATCACTTAGTAGATATTCGTCGAAAAAGATATTCGTTTTTTCGTACCAATCATCTATCAAAGTATTTGAAATCTATCAATTAACATGCTTAAAATTTTCAGGAATTTGTATTTGAATAGGTTAATATCCATCTGAACCTTGTGGAAGTTTTAAGCAAAAATTTTTTTTTGAATAAAAAATAGAATTTATGCATTTCTTGTTCTCAACAATTAACAGTCGTTGATAATTTCTTGTTTGTATCACTTAATAAACATTTAGTAATGAGATATTTGCATAAGTTATCTTCCTGTGTTAGATTAGAAATTTACAATAAACCTTGCGGCATTTTTCCTTTACGTTTTGCAGATGCTTGATAGTACAACGTGGACAAATGTTGAACGTGAGCAATTTCCTTACTACTTCAATCGACGTGAGCAAAGAAAGAAAGAGTTGCTTGCTCAGTGGTCTAAAATTGAGAAAGAATGGGATGATGAATTGGCTAAAATTCAAACTGAATTACCTGAATCCGCGGAAGAAGTTAAACAAAAATAAACAATTATGTTTATTATCATCATAAACAGTGATAGTTTTTTTCTTTTTGTTCAAATTTTTAGGCTGCTTCCCTATGTCATTATCATGTTAAGTACATAAATAATTGATTATTTTGTTGTTCAATTTCAATATATCTGATTTAAAAACGTTAGCAGATTCTTGTATGACTTTTTTTTCCTATAATTTTTATTTACTTAGTAGATGTCACGGTGTAAATAGATAATCAAACTAAAAAAATAATCAATTTTAAATATTACATTTTGTCATAATTCGGGACTCTTCCTAAGATTTGTTATTTATTGGTTTTTTGTTATGCGCTATTTAGAAGCTATTTTTTTTAAAGCTATTTATTAGTGGGTGAGAAGTAAAAAAAAAAAAAATTACATAAATATGTCATAAAGTTTACATTATTAATTGTAGGGCTTACTGATTACTGTTTAATGATAGTTACCATCCTATGCAAGGAAATATTCATAATGAAGGAGAGAATAATAATAAAGAAATAAACTTTTCTAGAGAATTCTCTTTGGATTTCTTATAATGATGTATGACATGCTGATGACAGAGTGAATGATAGATTTCTTCTGCAGAATTTCTCAACGAAATTTCGATTGTTTCTAGGCACAAAACAATGGAAGTACTAATATATCAGATGAATATTAAATGATGCAGTGATAATGGAACATTATATAAGAAAAAATTTTAACACAATATTTCCCGTGCTGTATCATTTTGACGATTAATTAATCAAATTTTCCTATTTATCCTGCATTGTTCCAATTTTAAAAAAGAATTTCATTAATACGAAGCTAATTTATGATGCATAATTTCGAATAATTTTTCACTATAAATATTTCTAGATAATCATCTAATGCACAAATTTATTTATCCCGAAAATCAATGACTGAATCAAAGCCACCAAAACCTGCACCTAAACCTGGACGAGTAACAGTTTATCGAGCCTTGTATGATTACAAAGCACAAAATGTTAGTTATATAGTATCTATCAAAATATGTAAATCAAAATGAGAGAGTTATAATCATTATTTTTTTTATTTTTTTTCAGATTGTTTCATGTTCTTTGTAGTTCTTTTGTTTTCTTTTGTAACTCATTTAAATTTATTCAGGACAAAGAATTATCATTCAGCGAAGGTGATTTGCTATATGTTTCTGATAGCAGTAATGATGTACAATGGTGGCCAGCACGTTGCAGAAATCAAATAGGTTTAATTCCAGCAAATTACGGTGAGTTTTATTGGTGCATTGTTAGATGTAATACTGTGAGCTGTAATGTTTTAAGAATTTTCAATTCTTGGTATTGAAATGATGAATTAATTTTGATAACTTATACGATTGACATCTTTGCTGAAAAGCATTGTATTATGATTGCTGATAAATGATTTCCGATCATAATTTAATGAAAAATTTTTAAAAAAAGATCATATTTTGGGTAACTTCAGATGTCATTGATCGTAAATTGATTAGTCCTTGTGAAATAATAATGATAGATTTTTTTTCGTTTGAAAAAAATTGTGAGATTTAATGTTTGTATAGTGAAGACAGCAGAATATATTGAATATCCGTTGCATGATGCAGCAAAACGAGGAAATATAGAGTATGTTAGAGAATGCCTTGATAATGCGGTAAGTTATGCTTTTTTTTTCATATTTACAAATATATTTCAACAAAAATATTTCATATTTTTGTAAATTCCTTTTTTTTTTTTTTTAGTATTAATAAAATTATGAATTGATCCATTAGATGACATCAACATATATTCCAAACAATCTTAGGCTAACATTCGGAAGGAAAAATATAAAATCTTTAGTTATCATACCATTTCATTCAAAATTTCCTTCATTATACGTGATTATATTTGGTATAGATAAAAATTCTCTTCCGTGCTTTACTACTCCTTGTAGACCGAAATTTTGTAAGATATGATGAAAAATTTTGTTCAAAAAAGTTTTAGGGGTTTCAGGTTGATTGAGTAGATGAAATTTCAAATTTCGTATTCAAATTATATTTGTTTATTCAGGTATCAGTAAACGGTTTGGATAAATCTGGTTCAACACCATTGTACTGGTCGAGTCATGGTGGTCATGTCGCAGTCGTTAAATTATTATGCTCAATACCCAGTATATGTATTTCAGCACAGGTGAAGTTATTCCGAAGTAGAAAATATGAAAACATCTTCATTAATTTTATAACGAAAAGAAGAAATGATATTTTTCAATTTTGATTTGCAGAATAAAATTGGCGATACAGCATTGCATGCGGCTGCATGGAAGAATCATTTGGAATGTGTTGAAGTATTACTGAAATATGGTGCAAATACTACAATACAAAATAATGAACGAAAACGTCCAATCGATCTTGCGGATGATCCGGAAATACGGGCATTAATTCAGTTGGCAATGCGTCAAACAGTCGATACAAGTAATTTCCGTAATGATTATAGTTCAGAATCCGAACAAGAAATTGATGATATTTAAATATTAATTTTAGATTATTCTACAGGTTCGACATTTTTTTGTTTATTGACAAATTCAAACACTGTTGTCCAACAAGTTTGCTTCATTCATATCAATAATTAGTAATAAGATTTTCATATGGAAAATGATACAAAAACAAAAAAGTCTTTCTGTTCTTTTCTTTGAAAAATGGAATTTATAGGAATTGATAAGCCATATAAATAATTTTTTTTTTTTTTGAAAAGGAATTGAAGTTCTGTAGCGTACTTTTCAGTTTTTCCGATCTAAATTAATAAATTATATTAACAGCAAAAATGAAAATAGTATTTTTATTTTTGTTTTTCATTTATGTTCCGAATATATGCCTTATAGTCATCGAATAATATGCCTTTATTATTGTAACATAACTTCTCAAGAATATTTAATGTATTATATTACATTGTCGCTTAATTGTACTAAAAATATTGTTTAATGAAAGCTTATCATATTAGTATTATTCTCATGTTTCCACTATTTTAATGAATCTTGTTTACTTATTCTATTTTTCCACTTTTGATTGGTATTTCCATTGAAAAAAAGGAATGCATTCCATTGTTATAATTTATAAAATTTACGCTTTGTTTAGTTGTTAACAGCTAATGCTAACAAATTTGGTTTCAATTTTCTCATAATTTATTAGACAACAAAAATTTTTTGTTATAATGTAATGCACATTTATTTACTTTTTCTTTTGCATTATGAATGATAAAATAATACTTCTTTTCTTACGATCACGTGCAGTAATACTTATCAGCAATGATTTAGTAAGCGTTAAATAACTTATAGAAGAGTGGATAATTTAGGAAAAACTCAAGAGAGACCGCAACTCAACGATTTATTCTGCAACTTAAAAAAAAAAAAAAAAAAAAAAGCATTCCAATTAAAGTAAAAATTTCTTTATTTTGCTAGCACATTGTTAATTATATCAAAATTAGTTGTCAAAACTTAAAAATAACGATGAAAATTCCTCCTACTTTTTATTTTTTGAATATAATTGAAATATATTTGTTGTTTTGGCTAAAAGTTTAGCGAAAGAATTAGGAAAAGTATAGGAATGAGAAAAAAAGTTTTTTTTTGGATAATTCGAATATATTTTATCAAAGCATTCTTCTTATCAATTTACAAAAAAAAAAAAGTCTCATCTTCAACTTTTACCTATGAAATGTTTAATTTTTTCCACTCTTTAATAATATTCCTTTGATTAATTAATTAGAAGAAAAACAATTAAAATGTTTCGAAAATTTTTCATATTTTTTTAATTTTAACAAACATTCATCTTTTCTTCTTTATTCTTATACATACACATTATCATTGGGTAATTAACTGCTAATATATTTGTCTCAATAAATCTTTTCTTTTTTTATAACAATCAACAGCTATTTTAATAATATCACAACTTTTCTCCTCATTTTCCTCTTCCTCTCTCTCTTTTTCCCTCTCTCTCTCTCTCTCTCTCTCTTTCTATCTCCCTCTCTCTTCCGTCTAATCTTTCAATATTACATGTGCGCATATTGACTGCTTTGCATGCTCAAATGTCCCATATGAAGCGAAATGCGCAAAAGTGCATCACTATAGTTTGCACTTTTTCTTCTCTGATTGTTCTGCTTCCCTATTCATTGCTGCAATTTAATCATTTTTTAAAAAAAAACTATGCGAAAATAGTAGGATAGCAATTATTTTAATAAAAATAAAAAATTATTGAATGTTTTTTTTGTTAAATCGATTAATTGTTGTTTAATTTTTTTTTATTTTTGTTAAGTTTTAGTAATTTTATTCAAGAATTTTTAATTATTTTAATTGGGAAATCTTCAAAAAAAAAAAAAAAAAAAATTTCTTTTTCAATTACTAATTCTACTTTAATGATTATTAGACTTTGTGATGAAATTATTACCATTTTTTTTCCTCAAATTTTAATTTTTCTTTTTTTTTTTTTGAAGTACTTTTCTTCTTTTTTTTCTCGAAGAAAATCGATGGATTTTTTTTTTCCTTTTTTTTTGTTTAAATCAATTTTCTTATGTTCGATAGATCCATTTTATTATTGCTATTCACTTCAATTTTTTTTTCTTTTTTTTTTGTAATTTTTAAGAGATTCGTGAAATCTAGCAAAGAATTTTTTTCTTGATAACTTTAAACAAAGTTATTCAATTAATTCAGTATTGTTTCTGATTTGTTTACGTATGATTTATTGGTTCCTCTATTTTTTTATTTTTTTAAATTATTTATTCGATCAATTTTTATCTTTGAATTTTGATTCATTTATTGATTCTTTTTTTTTTCGTAAAATTAAACTTTCGGTTTATTCACTTAAGTGAACAAAAGAAATAAAACGGAAAATGGGAAAAGAGAAAACGCATATCAATATTGTTGTTATTGGTCATGTTGATTCCGGAAAATCAACTACAACCGGTCATCTCATCTACAAATGTGGTGGAATAGATAAACGAACCATTGAAAAATTTGAAAAAGAAGCACAGGTATTCCTTAAATTTTACATTTTCAATTATGAAAAATTCAAAAAATGATAAATTGCATAATTTATATAAAGTTAATTTTTTTTTTTTTCATATTATTTATCTGTTTGATTCAGAAATTAATTCTGTTTTTTCTTTTTTTTTTTTTTTCTCTCATGCAGATTATATGACATATACAAAAAAGATTTGAGAAAAAAAAAATGGAATTACTACTAATATCTGATTGTTTAATTTTAATTTTTTATTTTTTAGGAAATGGGAAAAGGATCATTCAAATATGCTTGGGTATTGGATAAATTAAAAGCGGAACGTGAACGTGGTATTACAATTGATATTGCATTATGGAAATTTGAAACACCAAAGTATTACATTACTATTATTGATGCTCCAGGTCATCGTGATTTTATCAAGAATATGATTACAGGTAATTTGCATAATTATGATTGAAAGTGAGAGAAAGGATGAGAGAGAGAGAGAGGAGAAATTGAAGCTAAAGATGAATGTTTATAGCTAACTTTGTCAACAGTTTTAATCATATCACTAAAACTCTCAATCATAGTTTTATTTTTGATATGTATTATTCATTCATTTCTATAGCTAATAAATAAAATCACACACAAAAAAAAACTTTCTTATAGCATAAATTTCATGTTTTTATGTAAATGTTGGAAGATTAAAAGACAAATGGATGTTATATAAAGTTTTATATAATGATTATTCGTTGGAAATATATATATTCTTAATTAATATCATAAATTTTAGGTACCTCTCAGGCTGATTGTGCAGTATTAGTGGTAGCATGTGGTACTGGTGAATTTGAAGCTGGTATTTCAAAAAATGGTCAAACACGTGAACATGCTTTATTAGCGCAAACATTGGGTGTTAAACAAATGATTGTTGCATGTAATAAAATGGATTCCACTGAGCCACCATTTTCTGAAGCACGATTTGGTGAAGTTACTACGGAAGTTTCAAATTACATCAAAAAAATTGGTTATAATCCTAAATCAATTGCATTTGTACCAATTTCAGGTGAGGTCATTGTTTTTATAAATTGCTTACTATGTGAATACATATCATCTATTTACATATTTCATTCCATCTTTTTTTTTTTTCTTTTTTGCCTTTGGTTTTGCAGTGTAAAATTAAACGAGATTTGAAAATTTTAAGAATTAAAAGTATTTTGTCTTATCAATATTAAGAATAGATAATAAGCATGACTGAATGATAGAGCAAAAAAAGAAAGAAAAAATGTCAGTTTAACGGATTATTTTATTTGCAGTTGATATGACAAATAAAAATATTTTATGTATGTAAACAATCTAGAAATGGCAACATTTCTTGGGATTCTGTACTCTGTATTGTACAAAATTCACAAATCTGTAATAACATTATGAAATGATTATAATATTATAATTCATAATTGTTGTTTGTATTAGTAATGGATATTTTTCGAGATTACTCTATTAATATTTATAGGTTTCAATGGTGATAATATGCTTGAACCATCCACAAACATGCCATGGTTTAAGGGATGGTCTGTTGAGCGTAAAGATGGTATTGTAACTGGTAAAACACTTCTGGAAGCTCTTGATTCGGTTGTTCCACCTCAGAGACCAACCGATAAGCCACTTCGTTTACCTCTTCAGGATGTTTATAAAATTGGAGGTAACTAAGTTTTCATTTTTTCTTTCTTTTACTATTTTAAATTTTAACTATACAAAAAAGAAGAAAGGTCTTAATTAGATTATGGTATATTTTTAGTCTAATTTATTAGATATTTTCAGGTATTGGAACGGTACCAGTAGGACGTGTTGAAACGGGTATTCTGAAACCAGGCATGATTGTAACATTTGCACCACAAAATTTAACTACTGAAGTAAAATCAGTGGAAATGCATCATGAAGCATTGCAGGAAGCATTACCTGGTGATAATGTAGGCTTCAATGTTAAAAATATTTCAGTTAAGGATATTCGACGAGGATCAGTAGCATCTGATTCTAAGAATGATCCAGCTAAAGAAACTAAAATGTTTACTGCCCAGGTAAGTTATCTTATAAAAAATGGATATCATTCGAGATGACAATTAGTTGACCTTTTCTTTTCTTTTTTTTTTAATATATTGTTGAAATATGGATGTACCATACTGAAATCCGATGTGGTACTTATTAATTTGTGACATTTGTTTTTTTCTTAAACTTAGAATTCCGTTCTTCTGGTATTTTTTATATGACTTCAGGTCATTATCATGAATCATCCGGGTCAAATTTCTGCTGGGTATACTCCTGTGCTTGATTGTCATACCGCTCATATTGCTTGTAAATTTGCGGAGCTTAAAGAGAAAGTTGACCGAAGATCCGGTAAAAAAGTGGAAGATAATCCGAAGGTTGCATAGCTTCGTGGTTTTTTTGCCTTATTCCTCTTATTCTTTTCCTAGTTTACAAGATTAAAGAATTTGGGAGTACTTTAGATAAAATTTAACTATTAATTGTGTAGTAATGTCAAAAATTTTCGGCATATTTTTTTAGTCACTAAAATCTGGTGATGCGGGTATTATTGATCTGATACCAACCAAACCGTTATGTGTTGAAACGTTCACGGAATATCCACCACTGGGACGATTTGCTGTACGTGATATGAGACAAACGGTCGCTGTTGGCGTAATCAAAAATGTGGACAAGTCGGAAGGTGTTGGTAAAGTTACGAAAGCTGCACAAAAGGCAGGTGTTGGTGCCAAGAAAAAGTAATAATAGTCAGATGGCTCCTTCTTTTTTTCAGTAACATTGTTTCTTCTCAATTAGCAAAGTAGTTTTAATTTCAACGCTTCTTTTCGGTTGCTAATCAAAGTTTTTTCTCAATTTTCAACAACTTAAAATATGTTCCTTCCTTGTTACGCTTCATCCACTTATAACTATTAATGTTTTACATTGCTTATCACACCTTTCGCCAACGAAATGCTGCATTCGTGTTTTCATTTTTATTCTGTTATTTCTATATGCTGTTGATACATTAAAAATTTTTCTACATTTTATATATTTATCATTCATAACAAGAGACTGGTACTCTTTACTTATTTTTCTATGATGCTAGCATAAAGTTACTTACAGAGGAAAACTGCATCTACATTTGCAATTTCAACTAGGAAAGTTTCCCAAAGATAAAAGCATTCATAAATAACAATGAGTTATAATTAAACATCTATTACTGTAATGTACTATTTCAATATAAAAAATTCAAAAAAATGATAGGTAAGCCATGAAATGATATGAGCGATTTGAGGTTTGCGTTTGTTTTGTGTGAACTATGAGGACTGGGTTTAAAGTTCATCGATAAAGGAAGAGAGTAAGATTTACAAAATTTCCATTAATGTGATAACATCGGAATTTTAAAAATTTTTCTAAACTTTCATTCACAAGCAAAAATAGCAACGTAACAATATTGAAACCGAGCGCTGAAAATCAAATTAAAGAAAACGAAAAGGGCATACAGATAGAGTGGAGACGTACAAGAAGAGTAGAAGAAAGGACACAAGAGGATGAAAAGTGATATTGACTTCTAGCAACCCAGGTATTTGTGTAATCTCATTTTAATAATGTACGGCAATAAAGGTAGGTCAATGTTCTTAATGGAATCATCACCGTTCTCATTTATCACTATTTTCAAAATCAATATCCTCTTTTTCCTCTTCTGTGAAGTCCATGAAACCTTTTTGGGATATTTCACTTAGTAAACCTTTTTCTTGCGGATCATCTTTCTTCAATTTCTCTACTTTTTTCCATATTACAAAACCAATGGCATGCCATCCTACAACGAAAAGAACGAATGACACTCTTGTATACCTGAAACGAAAAAAAAAATCATTGAAATTAAAAAAAAAATCTTAACAAATCAAGATATTTTGTAGAACACTCGGATCCCATTCCTACTTAACACTCTTTTCAACTTACATTTTTTCCCACTGTAACCCAATACCTGGATAGGAGAAAATGTTTATAATATTTAGCCGTTGTCCAAAGCAACAGAATGCATAAGTGCTTGAAATTTCTATTCAGTACCAAATAAAAAAACAGAGTATTAGATCTCAGTGAATCAGGCACAGAGAGCGCAATAATATAGAAAATGAATGGTTATTAGCAATGCGAATAATTAGGCATTGTTTTTATAATTAAAACACAACTGCTTGATGATCACAATATCACAAATTTTTAGGACGAAAAGAGCTCACTAATCTCATAAAGCCCTGAATATAACACATGATTCAACGAAAAAGGAACAAAAGGAAAATAGTCTAGAATGTTAAATTTTCAAATATATCATTATTACTCAAATAACACCTTCTCTTTTCATTCCTCCTTCCAAAGCAGGAATACTGTACTAACCTCTTTGTCAACTGTTGATATGTTAAACGTGATGGTGGTCGCCTATTACGAATATATTGTCGCCATTTCCGTCGCCATTCCCAAACTAACATAATAAAATCTGTACTTGCAACCACACCTCACGTTTTTATTTTCAGAATTAATAAACTGGTTTTGGCTGCATTGTAGGCAAAATATTAAAACGCTTTTTAATAATTATTCTGTATTTCGAATTCTTATCTTCAGGTGAAAAACGAGCTGGATGAGCACTTTGCGTTTGTCGGCCTTGTGGATCTATACCCTAAAACAATATTTAAATTATATTTTCCTTAACTACCAAGAAATTTCAACAACTCAGAAATATAAAACTAATGGTTTTTTTTTTTTTTTTTTTCTTCTCTCCTTTTCCAAGCATTGTCGGCATCCTAATAACTACATGAAAGGAATGGTAAATTTAAGAAATTGAGACCTTTGTCTACCTAAATGTAGAGGGATGAAAGGATGCCATCCATTTTAAGCTAATTCATTATTCAGCTAATATCTTAATTAACTTATCTATCCCCAAAGAGAAAACTCTAAAATCTCAAAGACAATGATTGTCAAAACTGATTCAAAACTATGCTCTCACGATCAGCCAGAACAGAGGGTAAGAGAAAGAAAAGATTAGATAAACTTAGCGAAATGAAGACTGTGACCTATTAGTTTTGAGAAACTGCCACTATTAATGATGCTACTTAATATTACTATCACACCTTAACAGCCAAGGAATATCCCATCTAAGCATCATTATTAAATATAAGGTACAATTATTAATGATTCTCGAAGGAAACCGATATGCCTATATGATGCTGTAAAGTAAAATTTTCATTGGCAATCACAATACAAACATCATGACTAAAAGCATAGTCACTTTTAAACTTTTTTTTAAAGTTAAACTAAGAGCATAACCATTTAAATCGTTTCTAGAAAAAACATGGTCATAAATTTTGATCACAATAATCTTGCGACTTATTCGCTGCCTCATCAATCTAAGTAGTTTAAATGTCTAAGAATTTTTTTTTTTTTTCACGGATCTAAATAACAACTAAAACAACTGGTGACTTACGCAACATTATTCATCCGAGTTATGATAATCGAAATCATTCCTGACCATCACTCAAAACAATATCAAATTTATGAACGCCGAACTTTCATTATGACATTTAAGCTTAATACTAACATCCAACATTTTTGATGTTTTTCAGAAAGAACTTAAATCAATGCTAACTTGTCAGTCAATCCATTTCGTGTGATAATTGAATCTTTTGATATGCATACCAATGAGTGACAAATATGAAATGACTTACTTTAAGAGTATAAACTCGATTGCCTTCTTCGTCCAGATAAAACTTCAAATACATTACAACCAAATATCTACAAAATCAACTTAGTATAACTATATGTATCAATTTGAAGTTGTAAAAATTAATGAATCACCTTTATAACATCTCGCAGTTCCGCCAGTTTACAAATCACAGTAACTCCACAACGTCACAATCCCAAAAGCAATAAATGCGACCCCCTGATGAATGAAAGTCGCTTTACGAAAATTATCGATCCCAATGTGTTTGCTAATGTTATCAACGATCTCTTCCTAATTGACATTTCCAGATGCGCAAAATCCGTATTTCTTGTTATAGTTTGTAGATGGAATGATCTTCAGTAATAAACTTGGAAAGAAGTCAGTAATAAACCGGTTATGTCTTTTTTTTTGGTGTCACCATAAATTATTAAATATGGGATGAAGTCAAAAAAGAAGTAAGATAGCAAGAATGTCTTTTGCTTCATCTTATTCAGTGAATTTTTTAATAATTAGTAAATCCTTGCTGAGTAATTCAAGTCAATAAATCCTCACTTACATAATTTCTTTCGACATATTTCAAAGAAATAAATGAAATCTAATTACAATTATGGGGTTAGTAGTAATTGATTATCAAATCCTAGAAATGGATTGCTCCATTTTTATCATTTCTAGTACGACTGGTAAAATTATCATGGTCAATTTTATGCATTTTATTCCATTAATAAACTAAAACTTATCTAACAAATCAAAAGAAACATAACTTTAAATATTAATCGGTAGAAATTGTATTGAATTTCTAATAGCAATGTAATTCTTTTTTTATCACAACACTATCATTGCTATGTTTGAGATAATTCTTGAACAAAATATGCTTTATTGAACAATTTGGCACAATGTATTACAACATATTTTCCACTTATTTCGATAAAATATCAGGACAAAGAGCATTTATTTAATAGATATCAATTTATAGACTTGAAAAAAAAATACCTAATACCTATCTTTCAATGGAAAAAAAGAAAAAAAAATCTTTTTAATGGAAATCTATCTTTTAATAGATTAAGTTATCATCAAAATGATATTGAAATCCAAGTAATTAAAAGTAATATTGAAATCGAAATGACTGGATGAAAATCATGGAAACAGGAAATATAAATTCTAAAAATTTAATAAAAAAAAAAAAAAAGAAGGAAAGGAAAGAAAGTAAACTACAACTAATCGAGAATATTTTTATTAAATTATTCCTCGCTATTCAAAAAAACAAAAATCAGATCTTTTGATTTTATTTACAAATTCTAAATGAAAGAAATCTCTATATATTTACCTTACGAGTAGTACTGCTACAAAGTAAACGCTATAACACATTTTAGCATACAATTTAGTTATAAAATATCACATTAATTACATGTTAATATAATTTACAGGAATATTTAATAAGAATGTAATTCACATGATAATTTCAAAGGAATGAAAAAAAAAAAACTTTTTTTCCTATAAATTAATGTAATTAATTAATTATAAAGCAGTACATTAATTACATTAGAACAGTAATTCAGGAGATAAAGTTAGATATGTATATGAATAGTAAGCAAAATATGAAAACACTTTGTTTCCATATTAAAAAAGAAATAGAAAAATAATACCCGAATGAATAGAAGTTCAACTTTTAATACGAAATAATGAAAATTGATCATAGTGGACCTGCACCAACTGTATTAAAAACATAATCCCATAAAACAGTCGATATACCAAAAGCTAGAAAAAATAATAATAATAATGAAGTTTTCCCCGATAATACTATTAGTTTTAAATGGAAAAATGGAATGAGATTCCGGAAAAAATTGTTTTATTTTTTACTGTGCATATAAGATTAAATCAAAGCAAGAGTTCTTTTTACATTGATTATTTTGCGTTTTGTAGTTCGACCAGTTATTGAATTATATTGTCGAATTAATTTATGTTATCAAATTAAAATTATTTTTTAATAAGAAAAGGAAAAAGTATTTTGGATTAAAAGAGAGCAAGTAAAGATTACAAAACAACAAAAGATTAAAGAAAAAAAATATACCCAAATCGAAATGCTTGAAATGATGATTATTATGATAGACTTTTCGAAAGTGTAGATTTGTTCCTGGTAATGGATCGGCATGATGAAAATAATAATGTGAACAATCGTAAATGATATAACCAAACAATTTACCAGCTCCAAAACAACAAAACAAGTCGTATGGTAGTAATGAAGTATATAAATAATAAAAAAATGCAACAATTGGAGCTGCCGGCACAGGTGGAAAAACCAAACGATCACCATCCATTGGTGTCTGAAAAAAGTTTGCTTATAAATGGATTAAATTCTTTACCTAATATTAGGAATTATTTGTCACTTTATATTTAAATTCATCGCTCCAATGAAAAATGTTAGAGTTAATAAGACTAATAAAACAAAAAGTATATGTACTTAAAGACTTTCGCATCATCGGAATATATAAAAAATTTTAAAGGAAAATTTTCAAATGTGATCACTACTGTAATAGTATGTAGGAATAACATTTACAAAAAAGGAAAAGGAAAAAAAGAGAGGAGAAAGAAAAGGAAAACTAAATAATAATTGGAAATGAAAATCGCGCATGAAAATAATTCGAAAAAAAAATTCCAAAAACTAATCGAAAGTCTAACTTTATGATGCAAACCATGTAATAGGAAATGCAAAATGATTTGAATGCGTGATTCTGGATTAGGCTTCCAGTGAAATGCAAAACGATGAAGAAGATATTCCAGAAGAGTCCATGCAAGAACACCTAATGTAAAAAGGAACGTCCAAATAATGAGGCCGTACAGAAATCCTGTAGAGAAATACGATCAAAAAAAAAAAAAAAACGGAAATTTATAAAAATTATAATATCAAGCTATTATATATTATCCAGCACATCAAATTTCTTAAAATCTCATTTTGAGTAAAGTTGCATGATCAAAACACGAGCTGGTTATATCTTCGTATAAAGTATTATTTATATAAAGTAAAATAGAGAAAAATATTTCACATTAATTTCATTTAATGTAAACATTAGTTTTTCTTTTTTTTTAACAACTAAAACCTAAACAAACATTCAAGAAAAAGTGTCGACATTCAAAAAACAAATATAATTTGAGACTGACAATAAAAATCACCATAGTCCTGGAAAATCATTGAAAAAGCGCGTAGTGTAAAGATAATCACCAAAGGTAACCAAACAAGTGGTACCACCCACCAACTTGTCCTAGTCATATTTTCCAAAATATCTGATTCAAATAATCGAAGTGTTCCATCGTATGGTTGATGAATCCACGTCCAGTATCGATCACCCAAATAGCCCACTTTACTTAAAATTGGCTTATCAGATAATAATTCATCGTCTCCCTTCAAAAAGTGAACATTATGAATTTGAAACATCAAATACAATTATCAACTTGTGACCACTTATCGAGAAATATTCAAATTTCAGATTGGAATATCTTTGGAAACAAACCAAACTAGTTAAACATTACGAGAAAAAAATAATCAGATTCAGAATTTCTAATATGTGAAATTTAAAGATTTCTATTAATATGGGAGAGGCATAGAAATTTTCAACAGAATGAACTTTAAATAATAGTTACTACTTATTATAATTTAAAATGATAATCTGCAGTGATAAAATCTTCATTAAACGAATCTGGCAATATATTTTTTATTCAAGTTTTCCCTTATTTTGTTTGATTTTCATCATCAATAAATTATCATTTTATATATTAGTAAAAAGACAAATGCTCATCCTTTCGTTGATTACTTTCAATTATAGCTTATAATTTGAACATAACAACAACAAAGAAAAAAAATTGCGATATTATTATTATTAAGACAAAAGTTATTCGTTATTTACGGATTATTTACAAGAAAATAATCAAAATTACATATCTAAAAATTATTTAGTATTACGAAAAACAAATATTTATTGTTTATTGAAATATTTCGTATGAAAAGTATTACATATAACAAATAAGTTACGATCAAAATACAACAAACCTCATAGCAATTATCAACGGAATATTTTTGAAGCATTCGATATGCAGCAGCTGAATGTGCATGTTTAACCCCAAGGATACGCTTAGTACCATTCATATATTCATCAACATTTTCACCTGCTAAATGTTTAAGTACCTAAAACAAAATATCATAAAAATTTGCTATCATTATATTAGAGAATGAATTACACAAATATATTCTATCAATCTTTAGAAATATATTACCTGAAATTATAATCGTATCACTATGTTAATTAAACACTTATAGAATAAATATCATAAACATATTCTATCAATCTTTAGAATGTTTATTATCAATACCTGAAATTATAATTATACCACTATGTTAATTTCCTACTCTTCCTCTTTTCTCCCAATATATTCCCACTTATCCCTGATTATTTTTCTTTGATAAAATGTTTGAAAGCAACATAAAAAATTATTTTTTCACCAATATATCATATCGCTTCGGGTATGATATATTATTCGAGCAACTTAGAGTAACTTTACTAAAATATTTGATTCTATAATTTCATTATCTAAAAGTAGATGTAAAATTTAATAATAATAATATCATAGTCTCAAATAACACCATACAGCATTCCTGTTTTCAGTGCTTTACATAGCTAACTATTTAAATTTAAGTCATTTCAGTAGGTAAAATGATTTATTACTTGATGAAATTATCATTAAAAAATAACAAAAAAAAAAAAAAAAATTGAAATTTTTTATATTTAAAATATCTTAAAATTGAAAGCAAAGAAAAAAAGAAGAGAAAAATAAAATAATAATAAACCTTTTGTCCACCAGGATGTTTTGAAGCAAATAATGCTATATCATATAATATTCCATTAACTCGTATTAATAATGGTCGTTCTCGTAAATTACAAACTTTTGTTGCATCTCTGTCTCCTTCCATCGCTGTCTGCTTCCAATTTTCAGCATTATTCAATATCATTGCTTACAAATGATCGAAATGAAAAATCCTAAATGAAAATTACTAGTATAAATCATTGACAGAGACGGAACAAATAATATGAATATACCGAAATACTTATAATTAAAATGGTTAATATGAAATAAAAAATGAGAAAAAATGAATGGAATTTTTTTCTTGGATTGCGCGAATTCTTCAATAAGTCAAAAATGTAATAAATTTCTAATTAAAAATAAAATAACTGAACAGCATGAAATAATAAAATGGTTAAAGTGTAGATGAATGGAAATTTTATGAATAAATAAATAATGAATAAATAAGTTTGCAGGGTAATTTAAGAAATAATGGGAAAATTAATATGCCTACAACGGTAGGAATAAATATACTAAATAACTAAATTACTAAATAATGAAGTAAGAAAATAATCAACCAAACAAATAAATGTATAAGCAGAATAGCTAACTGATAAACAGACAAATAATTAAAAATAGAGCAATACTGAAGATGATATGATAAAAACAAAGACATTAATGTACATAAACATCACGAATTATTATGATCATAAAAAGAGATCAATAATTACTTATCAGAAAGATTGTTGATAAGCTTATCAATGCTGTTCAGCGTAATAATCCTCCCGATGTTAGTGATAATGATGCAAACCATATGACCGTTACGTCAATATATTAATCGACGGAAAAACATTCCCAAATATTATCCATTTCATTGTTAATTCATTCTGGAACAAGTTATCTTCCAGTATAGATTAAAGTAATATATTAATCATCTCATTATCACCGTCATCGTTGTCATCATTGTCATCACTGTTATCATCGACATCGTTATCACCATTATCATTATTATCACCGTTATCATCATATTACTGCACTATCATCACTTTTATCAACATTATCACCTTCATCACATTACCATCATGTCATCATCGCCATCATCATTACCATCATTATTGTTACCACCATTATCATCATCATTACATCATTATCATCATCAGCGTTATCATCATTTTTATCATCGTCATCACCATCAACATCACCACATTATCATTATCATCACCACTATCATCATTACATTATCATCATCATCATCAGCATCGTTATCATCATTGTTACCATCATTATCACCACATTATCATCATCATCATCATCATCACTGTTATCATCGTCATCATCACCACCATCATCATTACATTATCATCATCACCATCGTTATCATCATTGTTATCATCATTATCACCACATTATCATCATCATCATCACTGTTATCATCATCATCATCATCACCACCATCATCATTACATTATCATTATCATCATCATCATCACCATCGTTATCATCATTGTTATCATCATTATCACCACATTATCATCATCATCATCATCATCACTGTTAACATCATCATCATCATCACCACCATCATCATTACATTATCATTATCATCATCATCACCATCACCATCGTTATCATCATCGTTATCATCATTATCACCACATTATCATCATCATCATTACATTATCATCATTACCACTGTAATGTAATTTTAATTAAGCATAAATTTTGAAAAAGTAAAATCATTCATTTGTCAACTAACTCAATAACAAGAACTTCTTTGTTTCAAGAGCTTTAATCACATTATTTCAAAATTTCTTTTTTTTCGAATTGAATGTCTCATAAATTATACAAATGTAATTTGTCACTGTTCTAAAAAAAAGGTTTTTTTTTTTCTTTTTTTTCTTAGTTTTTAAACTGAAAATAAGAGCGGGAATAGAACTGTAATTTAAATTCAAACCATACATTTTGAAAAAAAAAGTAAAGTAATCCATACATTTACTAACTGAAATAAATAAAAAAGCAAAACTCTACAACCAAAATTAATTCATTTAGTACGATAGTACGAAGTTTAAATTTCTTTGTAAATAAGCTTCGTCAAAAAGCTAAAATATAAGGTGGAGTGTAATTCATGATAAAAGAAAAGTGATAATGATTTGGTTAAAGATAGTGATAGTGTGGTAATGGTGATAATGATACTAATAGTGATAGCGAAAGTGATAGTGATAGTGGTAGTAGCGATAATGATGGTGATAGTGGCAGTGATAGCGATAGTGATGCTGATAGTAACAGTAACGATGGTGATAATGTTGATGATAGGGGTAGTGACAGTCATAGTCAAAGTCATAGTGATAGTGATGGTGATAGTAGCCGTGACAATGATAGTGACTGACAGTGATGAAGACAATGACTGTGACTTATACTAACAGTGATGTGATAATAATGATAGTGATGATAAGGGTGATAGCAACAACGATAGTGATAGTAATAATAGTAATAGTGATAGTGATAATGATAACGACGACAATATTAGCGCGGTTAGTGGTTGGCGGTTGGGGGTTTGTATAATTGTGTATGGGTATGTATGTTTGTGTGTGTGTATGTGTGTGTATGTCTGTGTATGTGTGTGTGTTTATGCGTGTATTTGTGTATGCGCTATGTCGATTATTTCTAATGCTATATTATCGATTTATTCTTTTCTTTTCCAGAATTCTCCAGAAAATCAGTTTACTCGTCCCTCTCCCCCTCTCTCTCTGTCCCTCTCCCTCTGCCCCTCTCTCTGTCTCTCTCTCTCTTCCTCTCATAACATTCATTTGGTATTTGAATGAAAAGTAAAGGAATGAATTTAGTAGAAAGTATGTTGGAAAACTAAATTAGCCATAAATACATTGTTGATATAAAAAAAAGGAAAAAATTAAAAATAGCATTCGTTTTAGGAAAGCTTTTTATATAATATATTCTTATCAATTAGATTATCACATATACATTTGTATTTTAAATTTAATTCTTTTATATATTTCATTTTATAATATTATATTTCAGTTTAAATCCTCTCCATATTAATAATAATAATAGTAAAATAAAAATTTATAACGAAGTGTTAGAAAGTTATTATGAAAAAACTAAAATATTTCTTATTTTTATTATTTGATTAGATAGTTGATTGTATAGTATCTATTAAAATTAAAATGACAAATTTTTTTTTAACACTATTTTGTGAGAAAATAAAAAGAAAAGGAATAGAAATTTTTGTCTTTTTTTGTTGCTTGTAATTTGTCACCAGAATAATTATCATTTTACAAGGAAGAGGAGGAAAAAAAAAGGAAGGAAGAAATGGTGACAAATGATTAATGTTAATTACCAATACTTCATTCTTCTTTAAATACAAAATAGAAATGAAAAAAGAATTTAAAAAAAAACTTGTTATATCTTTGTCTAAAATAAATTGTTTACATCGATGTAATCATTGAGCAAATCGTAAATATAAACTAAAAAGAAATGATTTTATTATTGAAATTTAACATTTAAAGAAAAATATCGAAAAGATTACTATCAAATTATAGCTAAATAACATGGAAATAATACATAGAAATTAAAGAAAAAGAATGTAAGAATGAATGAATAAATTGTATGGTCGAATAAAAGCAGTAATCGGTTAATCGAAATACAAACAGTAGTTGAAAATAGTAGTTGGACAGACACAATAATCAGTTGGTAATCCAAAAAATAATAATCAGTAAGAATAATTAATAACAAGAATTAGTAATAATGATAATAATGTAGCAATAACAATGATAATAATAATAAATAATAATAATAATTAAAATAATAATAATATTAAATAATAATAAAAATAATTATTATAATTATAATAAAGATAATAATAATAATAATAGTAATAATAATAAATGAAATTTATTGAAATATATACATGTCAACCGCGCGCGGCTTAATTGATTGACACATTAGAATGGAAAGTTCACATTTAAATGAAGAGAGACAGTGAATGGCAAAAAAATTTTGTTTTTCTATGATTCAAAAAAGTGTTACTTGAAATGTGATTGATTCATTAATGTAAAACAATAAATTTTCTCTCATTTTATCCTTTTTTTTTTTCTATTCTTATAAAAGAAATAAAAAAAAGAAAAATTAATTTAGTAATTACATCGTAATTTTGTGAATTTGGGACAATTTTTCACAGTTTTTTCCTTTTTTTTCTGTTTCACTTTTAGAAAAAAAATAAAATAAAATTTAATCGCCGTATTGAAATTACAATTTTGTGACAAAAAAATGATTAATTTGTTTTAATTAAGTGTTCATATCGCTTAAGTGCAAACAAATTATTTACATAAATTGTTTTTATTTAATGTAGCAATGAAAATAGTAATTAATTTACAGCAATAATTTAAAATAAAAAGTAAAAAAAAAAAAGATGAATTAAGGAATTGTTGATTGTTTTTAGTTATTTTTAATCAAAATATCATCTACAATTCAAAAAAAAAAAAAAAAAAAGAATGACAAAAGCATTTATAAATTTTTTTGTTGGGACAGTAATACATTCAAATCATTAAACCATTAAAAAAAAAATCATTTAATGATTTTTTTTTTTAATTTCAATAGCATTAAAGCTTAATGGAAGCAATTATTGAATTCAAATATGATTGTGCATTTCTGAATTTCTGATTTTTAATAAATGAAAAAAAATAAAATAATCCAATTTAAAAATGAATGCAAATCAATAAGAGAAAAATGATTTGACAATAGTACAAAAAAAAAAAAAAAAAAAATGACAATTAATATCAAAAACGATGGAAAATTTATTTTGTTTTATTGCATTAATAATAAAAATGATATAAATATAATTCTATTATCAGTGATTATTTTCTTAGTTCAATTTAATTTGAATAAATTAATTAATTTAGATTTATCGAAGGACCTTTTCATTTTTTTGTCTTTTGTTTAATTTGAAATTGATTAAATAAAATAAAAATTTGAAGCTTAAAGGTGTAATTTGTAAACTGAAAAAAAAATTAGTAATTATTCATTCAAAGGAAAAAAAAAAAAGATTTATTTGAAATTATAAATTGCTTTGCAAAAATTTTGCTCGAATTTTATAAATTTTTCCTAATTGAACTATAAAATTTGATCATTTTTTTTTTCATTTTTTCATGTTTTAATTAGATAAATTTTCATTTTTAAATTATAATAAATGCAAACAAAATTTATGACAAAATTAAATCATTCTTATCTAATCATAAAAACATTTTGTAGTGATAAGTGATAATTCGAACAAATCATTTGGAAATTTGAATGGAATATCACAGATCGCAACGATTTTATTTTTTTTTTATTCTCTTTATTATTGGCAAAATAATTGATCATTTAGTGAAATAAATGAATGAAATGTTGGATAAAAGTTAGAGTAAGAATAATTTGAAATGATTTTGAAGAAAAAAGTAATAAATTAATTCATTCATTCATTAATAGAATTAATCATTTCTCCATTAACACATAATATTATTTAAAAAAAAAAAAATCAAATATACAAATTATTGTAAGAAACGATTAATTGATAAAATTAATTTTATGATGCAAATGTATGAAATATTGAAAGTATTTTTTGACAAGAACAACTAAAATATTTATAATAATAATTTTAGTAATTAATTAAGATTATAGGAATAATTAACAGAATATATTAGAATTAGAAGCTAATTACTAGATACGATATTATTTTGTATTTTCATAGAGAAAAAAAAATTTTGACAAAAATTTGACAGTGGCGTAAATTGTAGACTGTGGTTAGAATACAAAAGCGCTTCTTTTGGTGTTTGTTTTTTGAAGCACATTGATTAATATCAATGAATCAGAAATTTTATGGAAATAGTTGAATATAAAAATATAGCTCAATGCTTTCTTCCTTCTTTTTTTTTTTTTTTTTTTCATTTTATGAATGAGAAGAATGTGAAATGTAGTAAAAAGTGAAAAAGATCACTCAAAATTAGATAAATTATAAAACGATGAGCTCATAAAAATTAAATTATTAAATATTAAATTAAATAATTTGCCATTTTTTAATATCAAAATTAAATAATTTTTTGAACAATTTATTATAAATAATTTGTTTGAATTTGTTTTGTATATATATTTTATAATTTTTATTTACTTTTACCTTCATTTTATGTTTCATATTTATTGTATACTTTGTATTCATTCCGTATTATATATTTATTCATTTATTTTATTTTATTTTTTTTTTAAAAATTTATAATCTTTTTTTATTTCCCATTCATTTTATAATTTTATATCCATTACGTATTTTATGTTTACTTTATGTTTCATAAGCATTTTTTTTTTTTTTCACATTTTATATTTATTTTATTTGTAATCATTGTTCAATGTTTCATTTTCATTCGCTTTTTTTACGATGAAACATTTATATTTAGAAATATTTATTAAAAAAAAAAAATAATCTTTGTTGCATAAATTCCTAATAAATCTAAATTTTATTACTTTTAGTTAGATAATAAGATATTTAGACAATATAACATATTAAATATTAAATCGAAATTATTATTTGATTTAAGATATTTTAATAATTAGTAAAAACATAGTTACTGAAAACAAAAATGAGAGAATTAAATAAAAAATGATTCATTGGATTGACATTAAAGCATTTATTACGAACATATATGTTTTGTTTTTGTTTTTGTTTTTGTTTTCTTTTGTGATAAATCATTTGTACTGAGAAATATTTCAAAGTGAAATAATCTTTATTGTAGGAATTTCTATATTTAGTAATTTATCTTTTGTTGTTCTGAAGCATTTTTTTTTTTTTATAATAACAAATATACTTAATAATTATTATTTCTAAATATTTACATTATTAGATTATTTCATTTTTTTTTTCCAATAAAATTTATATTTATTTGTAAAAAACAAATGTTTTTTCATTTTGTATTTTCTTCAACATTCTAATATCTTTTTCATTTCACATATTTTTTAAATTAAAAAAAACATCAAATTTTTAATATAAATGCTATGTTTGGTTATAAAAAAAAGGAAAAGAAAAGAAAATTAAAAGCAAAATATTCAATGTTTACTTAATTGATTATTTAGTATGCATTTGCTGGTGCTGGTCATCCACGATTTGATCACATCGCAACAAAAAAAAAATAAAAAATAAACTTTAAAGAAAACTTAATTATTAAAGTTTTAACAATAATTCAGTAGCAAAATTGATAAAATTATCAGTCATTAGTGGTTTCAATTTAAAAATTTAAATTTTGTTTGTTATGAAAATATTATAATTTCTAAGAATTTTTGTTTATTAAACAAATGAAAAAGTTCTGAGATCATCAAATTTTATTCCAATAAATTATTAAAATTATGAAAAATATTAATTCATTAAAAACAACAGATACATTCATATTTTGTATACACCTCACAAAATTAGAAAATAAAAAGAATGGTTACATATAGAAATTGTATATAATTGATGAAAAAGAATTAAAAGCAAAATAATATTTAAAGTATATACTCTATTCGTCTGCAAAAAAAAAAAAAAAAAAAAAAGTTAAAGATTAAGTATTTAAAGTATGTATAGTAAATAGAAAAAAAAAAAATAACATTAATATATAGTACTATTGAAACAAATACCAATATATAATACTATTGGTACTTATATATAATACTTAAAATATTGAGGGCTAACAACCTAAGGTTTGCAATGTATAATTTCCATTTGATATTTAAGTATTATATATAAGTAATACATACTTTCCATTTTTTTATTATTTATATAAGTGTTGCGTATACTTTTATAATTTATTAAATACTGAATGCAAAAGTATGAGAAATTTTTTATTAAAATACTATTATGAAATATATATATATATATATTACTTTCATAATAATACTTCTATAGTTTATTAAATATTGAGTAGTATATGTAAATATGATATATTTTTTACTTAAATACTATTATAAATATATTTTTAAGTATATTTTTGTTATTTACTAAGTACTAAATAGTTTTTAAATAATTTATTGAATACTAGGTGTATATAAATATAATATATTTTTTACTTAAATACTATGATAATATATATATATATATTGATGCACAATTATTACGTATGCATTTATAATTAATTAAACGCTATCTCTAAATGAATAATTAATTAATTATTTGATCTCTAATCATTTTTCTTTTCCTTTGTTTATTACATTCGTACTGTAATACTGTAAATAATACCATTATCAAAAATATTAATTGTTTTTGTCACATGGTCATACTGTACATTTGATGGTACACCAAATCGTTTCCAACTACCTACTTCTGGCATTTTGTGAAGGAATTTGTCAGTGCTAAAATCATAAATAACATTTAAAATATTCGATGTAACATTCTGACTTATTGTATACAAATAATCACATGCAATAAATGCATTAACAATAGTTTTTGTATTTAAAAAATTTAACATCCATGATTTATGTTCAATTAATGTTATGCAATCACGTAACGAAGCTTTTAGTGTACCATTGGAAATTGAATGATATAAAATCCATAAATGATTACCATCATTTTCCAAATCCAAATATGAATGTGAAAATTTATAGATTGGAGTCTGAAAAGTTGAAAAAAGAATTTTTTTTTTTCAATAGGATTTATTAGTTAAAAGTTTTTTAATTTAGTAAAAATTTATTCTCATATCGTTTTTTTTTCTTTTTTTTTTTTAGTATTTTAATCAAGTTTAATTTTATTGTTATTTGATATGAACACGATTGAACTGAGCGAATTAATCAAATGGAATGAGGAAATATCGTCTACAAGCCGAGATTAAATATATATGTATATCAGATCTTTTGGATGGAGAAAAATGAATAATTTGTTGACTAAATGATAAGAATTACTAGTAAATTTGTAATTTTAATGCCTTCCCTTCTTCCTTTTTCAGAAGAAGAGTTTTCATGTCACCAATCAAAGATATCAAAATATTTCAAGTTAAACATGAGGCATAATCTCATTATCCCAGATGGTCAGTGGTCAATTCCGGATTTTATGTGAGATAACGATGACTAAATGACTGAGAATTTTCATGATTATTATGACAATTTGTAAAAGTCAATCATTATTCACTGAAACATATGGAGAAATTTGCATAAAATCAAAGATATTTCTATCCGTTTTAAAATCTACTAATTTTACTACGGTAATATTACTTTGTTAGATTTGATATCAAAAATTTGACATAAGAGCAAATTTCAGGCGAACAACATTTGCACTAATTTTTGCCAGAATCACATATTAATAAATGAATACAAATATGTATTGTGTTATTCAAATTTAATTTTCGTCGTCTTTTTTTAAAAAAAAAACTTCAAAATTTTCAAATTTTCAAATTTCAAGAAAATTCAAATTGTCGCTGTTGATAAACTGTTAACAAACATTTGTAGATGTGAAAAATATTAATTTGCAAAATTTGTATGTTATCCATTTTTTTTTTTATATCTATTAATTTTTCTAATATTATAAATATAATTTAAAAAATTTGAAGCAAACCTTTACAGCATCAATTGCTACACTTTTTGAACGTTTTTCATTAATTTGATATGAATAAATGCGAGATGTTGCTGATGCGTAATAAATAAAATTATTTCCATAACATGCGGCATTGTCTGTGCCATCAAATTGCGCCGAATCCAGAGAATGTATCGCGGACGGATGCGAAAATCGTAAATCAGTTAGATTATAATATTCAAAAACATTATATCCAAGCGAATATTCAGTCTAAAATTCATATTAAATTTTATAAGAAAAATAAGAATTAAGCGAAAAAAAGTTAATTGCAACATTGAAATTAGCAGAAATTTTTTTTTTTTGTTTAAATATGATTAAAATATATTTAAATAGCATAAATGATAAATATTTATCTGCGTTATATTATAAGGCAAATTCATTTAAAGTTTTAAAATAACACAACTGCATTCATTTGCCACTTCATTTGAATAATTTACAAATTTATAATTTAACTTATTTTTTAGCTTTTTTTTGTTTTTTTAACTACAACTATTTTCATGTTGAACAATGCTATGTGAGACTTCCAATATTTAATTTTGTAATTACTCCAATTTTTTTTACTGATTAATTAAGCTTTGAGATTAATCTATTCATATATAATTAGAATTATTATTTAATACTGTTGTAATTAATTAGACTTTTGAGTATCGTATTAGAAGAAAATTTTACATTGTAGTAGAAATGCCAAAAATATTTTGCATTAATAATTAATTAATTAATGAACTTTTATGAATAAAAAAAAACAAATAAGCATAATCATACTGTAAAATAGCTAATTAGGCTTAATTATACTGTAAAATAGTTGGGCTTAATTATACCATAATTATACTGTGTAAGCCCAATCATACTGTAAAATATTCACAATAAAAGATGAAATTTGAAAAGTGTGAAATGATTTTAACCTGAAACCAACGTGTGCCATGTCGAACAATGCCACCAATTCTATTCAAACGCCGAGCCAAAATATGTGGTTGAGAAATTGAACTAATCATACCACATCCTGGAAAAAATACAATGAATAACAATTCCCATTTTTCTAAAATATTCTTTTCCTTCTCTTTCAAATCTAAAAATAACCGTAAAAGTGTATTTACTTATTTTAACCATAAATAGTCATTTAAGTTGAAGCAAAAAAAGAAAAAAAAAATGACAATTAACTTGGAAAATTAGCTGTACAATTGTTAAGCTTATTTATAAGATGTTATATTAGATGTTGAGAAAATTCCGAGAAATGCATGTATTACCATTGTGACAGAGATTGAGAGTAAAAGAAAAGACAATTGCAATTGAAGAAAAGCTGAATATATTTGCAAGTTACTGAATACTTTCTGCTTTTTAGCATATTTCGTTTTGTTAGTTAAAACTTTAATTTTAATTTTAATTTAGGATTTTTAATTTAGGATTTTATAAAATAATTATTCGAAGAATCAGACGTATTTGACGCATGCAAAATTCAAAGCTAAATTCAAAGCAGTTTATTGATGATATGGAAGAAAAAAAGAAAGTAAAGGAAACTAAAATATATGCAATGGGATGTTTCTTGATTCTGCAGGAACTAATAATGCGTATAGGAAAACAATCATCCGGATTTCGGATTAAATTGCAGACAAATATAACGATGAGAACATTCCGGATTATATAAATAAAAGTTAATTTAAAGCATGAAACATGTTTCTTTTTCATTTCTTTTTAAAGAAGATTCATATATAACTGCATTTACTTATAATGGAATTCAGTAACGACAAAGCTTCTGCGACAGATTTATTTGTGACGGAAACAGGATTCATTTACGGTAGCATTTATTTGTGATAGAATTTTTGTTTTTGTGATTTCTAACAGAAATTACTTACCACTAAATTTATTTAGCTCAAAATTCATTTGCAGCAGGATTCACTTACGAGTAGGATTTACTTAAAAGACACTTACGAGATGATAAGGAAAGCTTTTAAGTTTTTCTAAATATAACCTCGTTTATTCGAGCTTCTCGGTTTGTTACTATAATTCGTAAAGATTTTTGTATGCTTCCATTTGTGTTTCATACGTCGTTTGCTATGTTCCTCACAAATAACTTTCAATGATTTATCCTAAAATTTCAATATTAATATTTAATATAATTAATTCGAGGAAAATAATGCATAAAATAATTATTAATGTTCTTAGTTTAACACATTATTCATGGAAAAGTTATTGTATAAAAATATCAAACTTAAAACAAGGTATTACTTATGCCTAAATTTAAAAATTTTAATGTTATGAACATATATTTATGATATTAAAGTTTTTAAATGATTCTAATTTCGTATTTCATCAATTCTCAGATATTCTTTTTTTTTTTTTTTTTTTCAAAAAAAGGTTTAAGCAAAATAAGGTGAAATTTTCAAGTGAAAATTCAAATTTTAAATTAGAAGAGGTGTTTTTTTTTTTTTTTTCGATTATAAAAATAACCGAAATTTGTGCATAAATTGGGAGATACAGTGCAGATGGTGATAATGACGGTGATAATGATAAATCTGTGAATTTCCATTTATCACTATCTTCAACATTTCGTATTTCTCGTCGATATCGCGCACGATTTATCATCATTTCGCATGTATCATTTTGTTGATTAATTAATTTTGATGACTGAAATTTTAAAAATTCTTAAAATCTCTTTTTTCCTTTTTTTTTTGGAATATCTTTTTTAATTGTTTGGAAAAAGAAATAATTGAATTAAATTGAAAAAAAGAAAGGAAAATATCTACCGGTTGTAGTAGTAAAATTCCAATAATTATTGTTTCAAGAACTATAATTGTAGCAAGAAAAATGATTAGCAAACGGATGAATAATAATTGCTTATTGTCGTACATCGAAGAAATAAGCTAAAATAATTGCAATAATTTATTCAAAATATTTAAATAATTACAATTTAGTTCACATTTAATTTCTAAAATTATACTTTTTTCAAGAATTTTAAGACAATTTTTTTTTTCTTTCTCTTCTCTTTTTCCACTTAATTTATTTCTTTTTCTTTCATAAATATTTTTTTCCTGAATTTTTCATGATTTTTTTATAAAAATTATAAGTAAAAAGATATTTGTATGACAAAAAGTGAGACAGAGAGAGAGAGAGAGAGAGAGAGAGAGAGGAGTGCAATAAATATGAAAAAAAAGCTTCAAATTTGTTCAAATAACATAAATTACTTAAATGATTCAAAATTGATTGAAAGAATATTTTTGAATACTAAATGAAAAGAAAAAAGAAGAAAGAAAAATGAAAGAAATGAAATAAGAAAAGATTAATTAAATATTAAGCAAATGATTTCCTTTTTTCCAATAACTCAAATGAAAGACAATTTACATTCATTTTAAAAATTTGTCCCATTCAATCCCATTCCGCACATCCAAATTTAATCGTTTTCCTTGCAAGGAAAGAAGCGGAAAAGAATTTTCAAGATTACAATGCTATTATTAGAAATGATGGTTCATCACAATTGCGCCCAATTTTCTTTCTCCATCTCATCCGATCTCGCACTGTTCCGCCCATCCAATAAATTTCCTTTTATGGCTTAAAACAACTTAAAAGCTTTTTGTTAAACATTCAATTATTATTTTATTGCTATTATTATTATTATTGTTATTAGATTTCAAATAATTACTTCCATTGTAAAATAATAAGAGTGCTACTTCTGCATGCATGCGTGTAATGCGTGCGTGTTTGTCCGTGTAATCCGTGTAAGCGTATGTCCATATGCTCATGTCTAAATATCTTACTCATTTATATTTATTTGTTTATTTCACACATACATATGCAATACAAAAAAAGAATTAAAGCGATAAATTTGAATAAAATACTATTTTTTAACAAAAAAAACAAACAAACAAATAAACAAAAAATGATATTTACTTTTTTGCATTATTACTGAAAATTACTGAAAACAGAAAAAATAAAAGAAAAAATAGTTGAAGCAAAAAGTTCGAAAAATTAAAGTAATACCAAGAGAAGAAGAGAAATGATCGAATTTTTTAATAAAAAATAATAAATCTGTCAAGACAAAAAAAAAAAAAAGAGGAAAAAAGTTTAATTCCTTCTTATTTTTCTTTTGTTTTTTCTTTTTTCCTAACTTTCTTCTTTTTTTAATTGTTTATTACTTATGTTTTGTTAATTTTGTTACAATTTATAAAAGTTAAATATTAATATTAGGCATTTATTAATACAACAAGCAAAAAGTTATGTTATTCTTTAAAATTTTTTTTTTTTTATTTCTGATTTGCATAAAGTAATTCATGATTTTATATGAAATAATTATAATTGAAGCATTTCAATTGAAATACATTTGCGCTTGAAAATTTTGATTTAATTATTGAAAATATTAAGAATATAAGATTAACTGATTGCATTTCAACTACTTTTTTTTGGTAAACAAGTATTAAATTAAACAAATATCACAGGCCTTAATGAAGGTCTATCATATGTTATCAGTTTTTTGCTCTCTCTCTTCTGCCTTCTTTCCCTCTCTCCCTCTCCCTCTCTCTCTCCTTCCTATCAGAATAGTATCACATCAATAAGTTTTAATTTTTTAAATTTATTAAAGCATTCACAATATTTACTTCGCTTATTTCTTTCCTTTCATGATTTCAATATATTTAATTAATAATTTGAATATACCTACAATATCATATCACAATGATTTAGATATGATAAATGATAATTAATTAATTAACATTTGTGAATTGCTAAGTAATTGAAAGAGAGTTAAAATTTATGGAATTTTGCAGTTTTAGTAATAAAATTAAACTAAACTGTTAATTAAATTAAACTGTTTGATAAATGATTGTTTGTTTTTTTTTTTTTTTTTTATTATTGTACACTAAAAATAAGAAAATGTTTGGTAATGAAAAATTTTTCAATTTGTTATCATCTGAAATTCCAATGAAATAAAATAAACATTCCTTCCTGTATTTTAATTATTATAAATTTTACATCAATTTATAGCGTTTCAAATATTACTAATTTACACATTTATTCTATTCTTGCAAATTTTTTTCTAAATTAATTAAAATTACCAAAGAGAAAATTTAAAAAAGATAAAAAAATTACAAAAGAAAATGTTGAAATTTTTCATAAAATATTTCTAAAAACACTAAGAATATATTAAACATTAAACTTGCAATATTTAAAAAAAGTATGTATAAAATTTACTAAAACTAATTTTAAAAATATTTTTAATACTAATTTATTTTTTTATTTTCAATAAATATAAATGAATTTTATTTTAAAAGCTAAAAATTCAGTATGAAATTCATCAATAAATTTTGTAATCACATTGAACAGACTTTAAGAATGAAAATTTGTTAGTTTTTTTTTTTTTATAGATCTAAGCAATGATAATGAAAAATTAATAAATTTGCGTTTAATACCATTACATGTGATAGACACTTAAGGACAATTTATTTTATTGTTGTTATTATTGTTATTATTATTATTATTATTATTATCACTTAAGGACAACATAACAAATAATAAAAATAGTGGTAATAGCTGTAGTAATAACAATAGCGCCAATGACAATAATAAGAATATTAATAATATTAATAATAATAATAATAATAATAATAATAATAATAATAATAATAATAATAATAATAATAATAATAATAATGATTGATAATAACAAATAATAACAATAATAGTTATAATATTTATAAATCATTAAAATCATTAGACATAGAATCACAAAAAATATTATCAAATTTTGTTTTAATCTTGAATAAACTCTGAAAATACAAACGTGACGCATTGCCCTGAACCAAAATGTTTGTAAACGTACGTATTGCCTTTAACGTCAGCTAACGTGAATGTGTATACTCTAAAATTTTGCATTTTGTAAAAAGAAATTGCAAATAAGATGCCATCAAAATATTTATTAAACTCAATATACTAAAATAAAATTTAGCAAAAAACAAAACAGAATTCACAAATGATTGTACAGCAAAGAGAAATTTAAATAAATCATAAATAAAAATTCGTTCAGTAAAATAATTTAAAGCAAATAAGAAACTTTGTTTTCATTTTTAAAAAAATAAAAAATAAAAATAAAAAAAAAAAAAACGATAATATTATAACTCAACAATTATTATAAACGAACATAAATGAATTATTTTAAATTAAAGGCACAAATTGTATCGTTAAAAAATGAAAGAAGAAAGATTAACTTTAAATAATTTTATAATACAAAGCAAACAATTTCTTATTTTGTACATAATAAAATTATTTAATTTATTTTCAATTAATTATTGTAATTATTGCAATTTTTTTTCTTTTTTTTTTTATCCTAATTAATGCTACTAAAATCTAAAATATTAGCGTATATTTGCTGAATAAAATTATAATATTAAAGTTTACAATTTCAATTAATATTTTCATTTTGAATTACATTGCAAATTTTGCTAATAATTTCAATAAAGAAATTCCTGACGAAGTGTATCTGAAAACATTAATAGCTATTGCAAGAAAATTAAAGTAAAAAGTTTTCATTTCATTAATTGCCTCTTTGATCGTTTCGGCAACTAAAATTGAACGAATAAATTGTTTAATAATTCTTTATAAAATGAGAATAATTTTTCAAGGAAAATTATTGTATAATAGCATTTTTTCCAATTCAATTTAACACATTTTTTCTGCAAATTTAAAAATCAAAAAATCTTTTAATTTCTTTTCTTTTTGCCATAAATTTTTTTTTTTTTAAATTTATATTTTTTTTTATTGTTAGAAGTGATAATTTAAATTTTTGATAATTTAAACAATAACAACGAATAAAACTTAAGATATGTTTGTAAAAAAAAGTTAAAATTATATCAAAAATAGCATTAAAAAATTCAATCGAAACTACAAAAAAAAAGAGCAAAATATTCGATTATAACAATAAATTATTATAATTGTTTTACAAAAAACGAGTGAAATGAAGAATTTTATGAAATTTAATTTTTTTTCTTGGATTTCAAAAAAAATTAATTATTAAAACCTAACTGCTCTCTAACAACTGTCTCAAAACAATATAAAAAAAAAAAAAAACAGAAAAAATCTAATAGCAATTAATTTTATAACTTTTTAAAAGTACACTGATCTTAGCAAAATGCAAAAATAATTCTTTATGTTTTTCAAAAAAAATTTATATATTTGCAAGCAATTAATAATAAATGATTAATTCATTCCAAAAGCTTTACAAAACGAATATTTTGTGATATAAATCACTGAATTTAATTCTTTTTTTCGCTTTTTTCTTTTTACAAAACAAAGATAAAAAATGAATTTATTATACTAATAAATGTTAGACTTAAAAAAAAAGCGTTTAAAAAAAAATTAAAAATTAAAATGAAAATAGGTAATAAAAAATAGCAAAAAATAGAATTTGAAATGAGAAAATAATTATTTCATTCAGAATCTGACGTTGCCTCCGTTACGTGAACATTTGGCGCTTCTACACGTGCCTTAAGATGATGAATACCTTTAAATTCTTTTCCTAAATGTTCCATTGTATTTTTCCATTGTTCATGTTCCGATTTATCAATTGCTAATTTACCGAGATATACCGAACCAATTAAATCATCACCAGCAATTGTCCTAAAGTTAAAGTATAAATTAATTAATGAATTCGAATAAATTAAATTTGAAAATAGAAAAAGAAAGATTGCATTTACTCATTATAATAGTTTTTCTGTTTTAAAGTTTATTTTTGAACTGATAATTTTTTTTTTTTTTTGTTTTAAAGTTTATTTTATTATACAATGTTATGTTTGATTTAATTTTTTGTGAAAAAAAAAAAAAAAAAAAAAAAAACACGTAAAATGACATATGCAAATGCAATTTTTAGTTTCGAAAATAAATCGAAACAAATTATTATTAAAAATAATATTCATTTATAATAATTAGTGATTTTTCAATAAAAAAAAAGACTTAAATGAAAAATATAAATTCTAATGGAAAATAAATTTCAAATGCTTACTATTAATAAATTAAATTTATTTTCAGGTTAAAAAAAATTATACCATATTATAATGAAACATACTTTTTTGTCTTTATTTATTTATTTTTTTTTTAGCTTGCTTACTTATAGTTTTAATTCATTATCATACTTACTTATCGCTATCAATTTTAAGAGAGTGATTAATACTGAAATTACTTAAAACAATTAATTAAAAAAATTTTTAACATAAAATTTTACATAATTCTATTAAAAAATTGTATAAAAATGAGTGCTAAGTTATAAATTAACAAAAAAAGCAGTAATAAAAATTTAATAACACTTAACAAAACAATATGTATTTATTCTGAAAGAAACTGTAAAAAATAAAAAATTATTTTTCTAAATTTCAAAAAATTTACTTAATTATGCATATATAATACGTTATGCAGTAAAACTATAAATTTAATTTGTGAAAAAATTTCTTTTTTCCTAATTTAATTTATAAGAAAATATATATGTAAATTTAATTTATACTTACGACTAAATTACCAGTTTAAAAAAAAAAAAAGAAAAAAAAAAGAATAAATTCAAGTTAATTTTAAAACATAAAATAATAATTTAAGCTATACAAACTTCTTTTATTTTTATGTTTAAAATTTTATCACAGAAATATTTATCTTTTTTTTAAAAAAAAAGAGTGAAAAGAAATAAATCTGATTAGTTATACGTGTAATAAATGTTATTTCACGTAATATAACGTACGTCATAAATATTACCTGGATAAATCATGAACAGAAATAACAATGCTGGTATTCTCGAGATCAATTGATTTTGTTTTTACCAAAAACATAATCGCTTCTTTAAACGTTGCATTACACGTTCCTTTGATTATACGACTTTGTTTTGTTTGTGTCACGTTGTTTTGCGTTAAAAGTACACGGATACATACGTCTAAATTAAAAAAGTTCAGTTAAAAATTTTTTAAGAGTAAACAAAAATTTTAACAATAAATTAAGAAAAGAAGAAAAAGCCAGAAAAGATAATATAAAATAAAATTGTTTTTACTCTTTTTTGTTTTTAATAGTATATATTTATTAATAAAATAAAAAAAAAAACTTTATTTGAAAAAAATTCCTGAAAATTTCAATAAATTTTAAAAATAACAGCAAAGTAAATTTTTATTTAAAAATTTGAAAAACTTTCAAATGTATAAGTTATTTGCTTAATATTATTTCTTGTAAGAACTTTTCCCTTAGTTTAGGATTTTTCTTTTTCTTTTCTTTAATAAAAAAAAAATTCGAAAAGTATAACTGTGAAATATATAAAATAAGTTTATATGGTAATAATATAATAACAAATAATAATAAAAACAAAAATCACATTTATTAATAATGACGGCAATAATAATAATAAATAATATAATAATAAAAAGTAATGACAATTTTAATTTTAAATAATTTCCGACTTAAAATTAATTCTTAATTAAATCATTTTGTCTCTGAAGTGATCATCCTGTATTGCAACTCAAAACTTCTCCATATTATTCGATTTTTTTTTTAGCTTCCTTTAAAAAAAAACCATTTAAAAATTTAAGTAATAAGAATTAATGAGAATTAATGAAATTTAATTTTTCCCTTTTCAATTTATATAATAATAACTTTTAAATGTTTGTACGATGCTAATAAAATTAGTCCAAATTAGCAACAAAACTTGAATTATCACTTTCGTGTGTAGAAATCCTTTTTTTTTTTTTTTTTTTCAATTTATCTACTTATAAAAGTAAAATTTTTTAAATAAAATTCAAAAAATTTCAGTCGAAATATTTATTAAATTTTATTTTCATATAAAATAATTGAATTGCTGTGTTTATTTTTTAAATTATTTCCAACAAAGCATCGAATTTACTGCATAAAATCCATGCTTTTTTGCTTTTTTTTTTTTTTGTCCCTTTATTTTTATTTAAAAAGCTAAGCTTAAAAATTTTGCACTTATTATAATTGTAGAAAAATTGATTCAACAATAAAAAATAATAATTTCAGGAAAATTTTATGGTACTTTTAACTAAAATTAAAAAAAAAAAACCTACAGTTATTAGAATTTTCCCAAAAATCATTCAAAAAATCATATTATTTATTCAATTATAGCAAATTCAAAAAATTTAAAATATTTGTGAAAAAAAAGCAAAAAAGCAAAATTTTTGTAAAAATTAAATAAAAATGTTGTTTACAAATTATTAATACTACTATTATTATTATTATAATTAAATGTTACATGAAAATCAACGATGTGTGATTTTCAAAAATGATTTGTTTAATTTAATTTTTGAAAAATTTAAAAATATCCATTAAAAGATAATGAAATTTGAAGTGGTTCATTTGCTTTTAGAGCTAAAAATAAAATTAAATAAAATTATTTTCCAATATTTTCATCTTCGTCTTTTTTTTTTAACTTTCTCTTTTATAGCGTAAATATTTTTGCTCTTTTCAATTTTTTTTTTTTTTAGTCAACAATTTCTCTTTCTCTTCTTTTTTCTCTCTCTGTTTTTCTCTTTTTTTTTTTTTTTTTTGTAAACAAATTATTTAGAGTTGTTTAAATTTCCTGTTCAGCTCTTTTTTTCTAGCATGAATTTTTCTAATTTATGAAATTTTAAAGTTAAAAGTTTTGAAAAAAAAAGTAAATGGCTTTTTGCTAATTGAAAATTAAATGTCCCAATGTGATTTGATTTGAAACTATGATAAAATATACTCTAAAAATTTTTCAAAGAAATTAAAAAAAAATCAGATTTGTGTTAATATATTTAATGAGAAATAACTCTTGCAAAACTTTAAAGAAATGAATGAAATTTGTTGTAAAGTTATTAATGAGAAAAAAAAAAAATTTCATTTCTCGAGAAATCTCAGAGAAATCGAAGAGAATTTCATTCCTTTGAAATCTGAGAGAAGCAGAAGAAAATTTCATTCTTCGGAAATTTTAGATAAAGCAAAAAAAAAAAAAAAAAATTGAAGTTTAGCATAAAATAAAATTTGTCAATGAAATGCAATGAAGCATACTCAATGAAGCTTTTTTTTCAAAAAAAAAAAAAAAGTTAGTTATTGAAAAAGCGATTCAACGCTTGCATTTTTAAATTAGTGAAATGAAATAATTAAAATTGAGAGAGTAGTACTATGAGTTTTGGAAAGTTGTATTTTTATAATAAATTTTTGTCATTAACTTAATTAAAACAAAAACAATCTCTGAGAGAAGAAACAAAATAATAAATAGTATATAGTAAATAAATAATTTTAATTATATAATTTTTAATTTAAAATAAAAAATATAAGGAATAAAAGAATATAAAATAAAAATAAAAAAATATAAAATTGTAGTATAATTCTTTGCTTTTTTTTGTATTTTTTTTTTTTTTTTTTTTTTTTTATTAATTTAATGACATTTTAATTGGAGACTTCCTTTCCTGTACTGATTTCTAATTTAATTTGGAAAATAATATTTAAAAAAAAAAAAAAATTGCAACAATTCTAAAATAATACCATCAAATGATATTTTTTCAAAGTAACAATAACAAATTTAATTTATTTTTAAGCAATTAAAATTTCACTTACCAGGTGGTCCAGTAATGCCACCTTTTGGTAAATCTTCCACTTTGATAATATTAATCGTTAAGCGAGATGCTTTTTTTTCCAGACATGTTGTTATGCATAATTTTCCTAATTTCTGAAAAAAACTACAATTAAAATTTCATTCACCAAATAAAAAAAACTTAAAAATTAAAAAAATTTTTTTTTTTTAAACTTAATATCAAAAAAAGTTTTATTATTTCAATTCATACATATTTATTAATTTATTTAGCTTTAGGTATAGTTTATTTATTTTCGCTTCATTCTTTATTTTAATTTTTTTTTTTTTTTTCAAAAAAATTTTTTTTACAATGCCTCAATTAAATGATAAAAATAATAATAAAATATGACAGTATTGATCTGTTTGTATTTTTTGTTTTTTGTTTTTTCCTTTGATTTAAGTCTGATAAATATTGCAATCAATTAATCAATAATCAATGGATCAATGAATGAACCGATCGATTGATCAGTCAATGAATATATCCATCATATGAATATAATAATTAACAAATTTTGATGTAAAACAATTGATATCTTTCAAAATAAATAAATTTTTTTGGTTGTATTAAATTATGCAAAGAATTGAAAATACTTTAAGCAAAATTTAAAATTATAGAATAAACGAAGATTTTTCCTACTTTTCATTAATTTGAAAATTACTTCAAAAATTATTTTCAAAAATGAAATCAAAATGACAAGCATTACAGAAATTAATTTATAATAGAATTGAGAATGGCATAAAAATAGAATCAAAATCACATCATTAATAAATAGAATTTTTTACAAAAAAAATTTCATTTATTAATGGTTTAAGGTTCTTTAACCCATTTATTAATTTAAAAAAAAAGAGAGAAAAAGTTTTAAATATATGCGCAAATGTCTTATCTTCTCTTTTTAAACATTTTGATAAAAAAATTTTTCATTTATTGAAATGAATAAAACAAATAATTTTTCGTTGCTACTTTTTTTGTATTTTATTTTAGTTTATAAAAATTTTTTTATGCGATATATCGAAGATTTAATATGCTTGGAATACTTTAATCGTACCGTTATTCACTCAATTTTTCAATTTTTTTTTTTTTTTTCTTTTTTACTTTTTTTCTCACTCTTAGAACAATTAGTTTATGAAATGCTATTGAAATTTTTCTTAAATTTCCATGAAAAACCACTTATTAAATTTTGCCATATTTTTGTTTTCTTTTTTGTCCTCTTCAGATGACATTTTTAAAATTATTTTTGCGTCATCGAAAATTTTTTTTTTTTTTTTCAAAGTATGAAAACCAAAAAATGATTCAAAAAGTTTGATTAAAAAAAATATAATATTAGTAATTTTGAAATATTTAATGCGAAAATGAACAAATACATCAGAAATCAAAAACAGACTGGAAATGATATATCAGAAATCAAAAAGCTATTATAATTTATATATGATAATTAGTATAATTAATATTAATTTTAGGCTACCATTTGGACAAAACGTTTGGTTTGCTTGCAAAATTGAAAACATTTATTTATTGTCTAAATTTTCGTAATTTTTTTTATAATTTTGAAAAGATTTATATTTAACTGTTTCGGTCAGATTTTTGTTAACTATTTGAATTTATAGATAAGAAATAGAAATAAAAAAAAAAATAAAATAATATATCAGAAATCAAAAAACGATTGGAAATTGAAAACTTATTGACAAATAATTAATCGAAGTGTATAATAATTAGCAATGAAAGTATGAAAATAAAATTAAAAAGAATAAATTGCATCTTTAATTATTATATAACATCTTAATTCCGTGATTTTACTCGGAAAAAAATTTTTTTATTTATTCATTTCAATTTTTATTTTTTCGTTCAAATTAATCCAAAATTTTTAGTCTAAAATTTTTTGCTTAAAAATTTTTGAACACGTAAATTCAACAAATCAACAATTTTCTAATAAAATCCAGAAATCAAATATTCTTTTCCCTTTTTTTCACAATTTTTTAAGTTTTGTTATTTGCTAAATTACCACTATATTATTCATTTTATTTCAATTAAATTAAGCAGTGCTAAAAATCATTTCTTCCGGTTTATTTTAAATTTCAGTAATTAAAAAATATAAGTTAAATTTAGTGATAAATTTTTGCAGTTCAAAAAATAAGTGGGAAAAAAACCAGGAATATTCAGCAAGAAAATTAAAAAAATAATTTAAAAAAATTCCTCGTTTTTCTTTTTTTTTTCAAGAAATTTAAAGACTTCGGATTAAAAAGGAAATAAAAAATTTTTGAATTAAAACGAATTTAAAAAAATTTGGTGTACATAGCAAATAATTTCTTCTAATTTCTGAAATTTCTTATAGGAAAAAAATTAATAAAAGTAGCAAAAAAAAAAAATTATTTGTTTCAGTTCTTTTTAGAAAAGATCGAAGTTATATAAATTCGATTTTTGATTGTTTATTTCAAATTAAAATTTGCTTCTTATCATTTATATCAGCAAATAGATCAAAATTCAACAATTCTTTTTTCAACTTTTAATTATTTTTTTTTCCCTTTTGTTTGTTTGTTTGTTTGTTTGAAATTATTCTATAATGACAAAAAAAAAAATTCTGCTCAATGGTAAACTAAGTGATTTATTATTCATTTTTTTTTATTTTTATTTGAAAAAAATTTTTGAAATAATTTTTTCTTCTTGTTCAAATGTTTCTGCTTCACATATTTATTGTTTAATTTTACAGGACTAAATGAAATATAATCCGTTGATTTCAGAAATTTTCACTTATTTCAACAGTAATCGTTAAAAAAAGAAAAATTGTAAACAATTGTTTACAAATATTTTAGTAGATGGTAAATATTTCGAGCGTAAAAATTTATTTGTTTTAATTTGTTTCAAAATTTAACTCTTTAATTTCTGTAAAAACAAAAACCAAAATTTGTTCCTATTTTTCTTCCAGAAAAAACGAAAAATTTCCTCCCTTATTAGAGAATTTTTGTCTTTTTTTTTTTTTTGCTTAAACACAAACTTCGAAATTTTATTTTTATGTTTGTTTCTTGTTCTATTCTAAGTATAAATGAAATTTCTATTTAGTTAGTTAGCTAAAACGAAGTTGAAGCAAAAAAAAAGTCAAACAAAACTTTCTACCAATCACAGCAAAATGCTATTCTTAAAATTAAAAAGCAAAAGGAAAAAAATGCTAATTTGAGCTGAAATTTAAGCTAAATTTAAGTTAAACTTTATCTCTTCAAAAAATGAAGAAAAAAATCTAGCAATTAATTAATAATAAATGATGATAATAGCAACAACTATGGGACTCACAATATTTAATTTTAATTTTTGGAAAATAAAATCTTCAAAAAATTAAAACATCAATACCGCAATATTTTATTATCTGTTGAGAGAAAAGTAAGAAATAAAAAGTACTAAATGAAATCAATCAATATTGTCATATTTAAGCATTACAACAAAAACAATAGCAACGACGATAACAACAGCAATAATATTGACAATAACAACGACAACAATAAAACAGCAATAATATTGACAATAACAACGACAACAATAGCAACGACGATAACAACAGCAATAATATTGACAATAACAACGACAACAATAGCAACGACGATAACAACAGCAATAATATTGACAATAACAACGACAACAATAGCAACGACGATAACAACAGCAATAATATTGACAATAACAACGACAACAATAGCAACGACGATAACAACAGCAATAATATTGACAATAACAACGACAAAGTTAAATTTTTAAAAAAATGATTTTTTCGTCTTCTTTTTAAAGAAAAGATAAAAATTTATATAATTAACCTTTGAATTAATGCGATATTTTAATTCTTCCACAATTTTTACTTCTTTTTTAGATCGTAATTCGCTTAAGCTTTTCAATGATAAATACATATCACCGATGATAACATCTTTTTGAAGTTTCTGCGGTGATTGATGATAAACTGTTATTGCAAGACATTTCTCGCTTAAATCATCCACCAATACATTGTCAAAGAAAAATTCCTGAAAATCTCTTTTAAATTATTTAATATAATAAATTCCAATTTTTTTTCTCTTTTTTTTTTGCAAAATTTTTTAGCATATTTGCTTATTCTTTCAAAACAACCAAAAAGAAAAAATCAATATTGCTATACTTTAACATTATACCAGCAAAAAAAGAAAAAAAAAGGAGAATCATTACAAAATATTTTTTCAAAATTTTGAAAAAAATAGAAATTAAAAATAAAAAAAGAGCAGTTAATTTGTTTCATTTTTTTTTTTTTTTTTTTGTTTGTTTGCACTAATAATTTGAATTTTTTTTTATTAAATTTACTAATTTAATTACTTTTTTTGATTTTAATTTGTCGCATTTTTTCAAATTGCATTCGAATTTATTTATTATAGTTATTAAGAAAATAATAAATAAAAATTAAAGATAAATTTAAAAATTTGATTTAGTGCGAAAAAAAAATTTTTTTATCAATTTTTCAATTTAACTTAATAAGTTAAAAAAAATTTGCTTAATTAGTTATAATTAAGCATCCAGAAAAATAGAAAACAAATTTACGATATTGTAAGTATCAATTTTTAATTCAAATTTTTTTTCTTATTTTGTGTGAACTTTGATTTATTTTCATTTGCGATAAGTTTTTTTTTTTTTTTGAAATGCTTAATGAACAAAGGGTTTTCTTTTTTCTTTTGAAAAATTAATTTCAGACTTTTTCGTTTTCTGACTAAAAATGTTTTCATATCAATGAGCGAAACAATTTGACATAAATGTTAATTGCAATTTTCATAAAAAGAATTTATTCTTTTCAATGAATTCAAATTTTATTTTTAAAAAAAGAAAAATAATTTATTTAATGAATTTGACCTTTTACAATTTGAAAACATCTGAGCTATGTCTTTTTCATTTTTTTTTTTTTTTTAATTTTTATTTTTCATATGAAAAAAAAAAAAACAATAATCAGAGAACTTTTAAACAACTTTTAAAAAGTGATTTTTTTTAAAATCATTAGTTATTGCCATCTATTAAATATGCTAAGAAAATAACTTCTTCAATAAACAATAATAATTTAAAAATTTAAAATGAAAATAATATATTTAATGCTAAAATTGACAATTTATTATCATTAATATTACTTATTACTGCTAGCGATGTTATTAACATTTCAATTATTAAATAAATAAACAATTATTGAAATATTTATGCCACCTGATTGAACGCAACGTCACGTCCACGTTTCACAATTGAATTTTGTGGTTTGCCACCTGGTGCTAGCGATACCTTACAAAAAGCATGAATTTCTAATTCCGGTTTCAATTTACCTGCTAATCCTGAAAGTTTCACTAAATAAATTTCAATTTTTTCTAGTAATTAAAATTTAAGAGTTGAAAATCAGTAAGTGTTATATTTATTACTTTCTTCAATATTCTTCTATTTGCTAATATTATAATATTGTTGAATATACATTTTCTATTTTAAATGCTTTAAATCAAAATTTGATGTACAATAAATAAAAAATTTTAAATTAAAAACTATTAAAAATAAATACACAATAATTACAACAATAATATGCATAAATAAATATAATAAAAAATAGGCAAAAAAGTTTAAATTTTGCAATTGTTAATTTTTGACATATAATTTATAAAGCAAATTTTATTTATTCAAATTGTAAAATATATTAAATTATAATTTTTAATTTTCTGAAACAAAACAAATTTTTTTTATCTGTTATCTTTCATTAAATCTTTTCATAATAATGAAAAATTTTTTTTTCGTTTAAAATAAAATTTTATAAAATTCATTATTTTCAAATTAAAAATATCAGCAATTAGTAATAATAATGGAATGTTATACAAATTTAATGAAACAAATTTTTAGTTTTAACATTTTTCTTGTTTTTTGTTTTTGTTTTCTTTTCTTTTTTTTAATTTTTTTCCAATTCCAATTATTGAATTTATATTAGCATAATAAAATATAATCATTTATTTGCTTCATAAATCAAATATATAATTGTTTATATACCTTTCAAAAATTTTGAGGATTTTTTTCAATTGCTTGTTTGCTCGAACAATTACACAAATTAGTTAAATTGAAAAGGGAAATGAAAGAAAAAAAAAATTTCAATCAACAAAATTGGTCTTTAATTTCATATACTAATTTATCAAAAAAAAAAAAGAAAAGTAATAAAGTAAGTAAAAGTTAATCTCAAAATTTGAAGGAGAAAAAAATTTGCTCATTTTCATAAAATCTTTGACCTTTAAACAAAAAAGTTAAAAAACAAATATGCGCGTTGTCCTTTTTTTTTTTTTTTTTTTTGTCCATTCTTTTTGACATTTTTAAAAAATTTCGCAAAGATAAAAAAAAAATGAAACATGAAAAACATTCAAATTATGTATTTCATTTCTTTCATTTTTTATTTTAAAAAAATTTATTCATTCATTTTTTTCACAGCTCAAAAAATTATTTTTATTATTTCAATATTTAATTCAATAAATGATTAACAATTTTGTTCGATTTGATATAAATAATTGAAATGATTGAAATGGATTTTCTCTTTTAATAATATATGTACAAATTAATTCTAAAATATTTAAAAGTAATTCTAATTCAATTAATAAATTTTTTATTCGAAATTTTTACCGACGAAAAACAAATATATTTTTACATGCATATACTAATTAAACTATAAATGCATGAAGAAATAAATTTAAATTGTTAAATTGAAGTTTAAAATTATGCATTTCAATAGATAATTTAAATTACTAAATGCTAAACGAATTAATTTTTAAATTAGTTCACTAATTTTAATACTGTGCTATTTTATCATCTATGAATATTATTATTAGAGTATTAAAAAATTTCATAATTCATTTCTTTTATAGATTCCATGAAAAATTATTAAATTTAATTTGAAATTTAATCAATCAAAAATCATTAGGAATTTTCAGATCGACTATTTTAAATTATTAAGCTCTAAATTTTGCAAAAATATTTTCAAATATATCTTTTTGATTTCATTTTTATTTTTTTTTTTCAATATTTTTTTTATTATTTTCTTTTACGAGGAAATTTGATTTGAAATTTATAATATTTCAAAATTTTCACATAGCATTTCTCATCCTTTCCTACTAATTAATCATTGAAATTCAATTAAATGATATTGAAATAGTATTTGAAAGTAAATCATTGAAATTGAATAATAAAACTAATAAATCAATGATTTACATTTTTTTAAGCTTTTATTTAAGCTAATTGCTTTCTCTATAATATTTCTTCGTGTTTTTCCGTTTTTTTTTCTTTTTTTCTCCGGTTTTCAATTTTCCGGTCAAATAATAAATGCATAACATTATATTTATGAAATCTAAGAAATAATTGGAAGAGAAATGATAAAATATCGTTTGAAATGAAATAATTTAAATAGTGAAAAGAATGGTTATAAATAATTTAAATAAGAATAAAATACTGAATTATGAAGTTTTTCCTTTTTTTTTTTTTTTGTTCATTAAATTTATTTATTGCATACAGTTTAGATTAGTATAAATTACATTTGGTATATTTAAATAATAAAAAAATATTTTGCTATGACAATAATATTTATTTTTTTTTTTTTTTAAAAATATATTTATTAAATTTCGAAAATTTTGTGAAAAGAATTGCAATCATAATTTTTTTTTCGAAACAAATTGCTAATATTTAATTTTGTAAAAGTAAGCAAGAAATAAAATTTATTAAATAACTAATAATGATTTTATTAAGTTTTATTAAAATTTTTTCCTTTTTATTCATTTTTTTTTTTTTAATAAAATAATGAATTTATTGATTTCGCTCAAAATAGTAATAAAAAAATTTGTTTTAAAAAAATGCCAATTCAAAAATTTCTTTTGGAGAAACTTTAAAAAAAAAATTAAACACTGAACAATTTATTATTTGAAATAAAACAAAGAAAAAAAATTTTTGTTGAAACAAAATTCAATATACAATCTAAAATTGACTGAAAATTAAATTTAAAAGTGAAATTATTAATCATTCTAAACTATGTTATAAATGAAAATTCTAACGGTTACTATCAAAAGAATTATAATTCCTTACAACATATCTAATCACTAGCCTAACCAAGAGCCTAGCAAAAATAGCCTAGCAAAAATAGCCCAGCAAACAATGCAGCTAATAGTAATGATTCTTAAATTATATTCAATTTATATCTGAGCAAATTATAGGTCTTTTTTTTCTTAAATAAATTTATTCAATTAAAATTTTCAGCAAACTTTTTTTATATCCATTTTAGTGTTATGATAAAAATAAAAATGCAAAGATTATTTTTTGAAAAAATAAAATTGTAAGAAAATATGAGAATTAGAATTGAAATTTATAATGAAATTATAATAAATATTAGCCAACCTTCTGCTTTTAAAAGTGAAACACGAAGACGTTTTCTAATTGGAAAATGTTGCAATGAGCAATGTATTAAGCCAAGCCCTGTTGGCCTTGGCTCATTTTCTGGCCAAGAATTACTCGTTCGCACGGTAGACCGCCTGGGAATATCTGGTACCGAACTGGTAGATGTCTCAGCACCTTGTTGATACAATGATAAATCGGTTCCATGTGTCATTTGTTCTTCTACATCACTATTATTTGTTAACTGAAATTTTACAAAAAAAAAAAAAAATAAAAATATTTTTTATTAAATTAAAAAAAAAAATTTTATGTATTAAATTTTTATTTAATTCATTTCGATGGAAAAATAAAATATTATTAAAGTGCATCAATTATTACACATATAAAGTAAAACTTACTATTAAATCAAATAAAAAGAAAAAAAAAGAAAAAACAAATTTTTGATTTTAATTAATTAAAAAATAAGTAAATAAACAATTAAAACAGATATGATTTAAGATTTCATTGCAGTTGCATAGGAAAAAAAAAATGATTTATCTTAAATTTTTAATCGAATTTTCATTCATCATTTCTTTTAATATTTTTATTCTTTTTTTTTTGCTTTTTCATTAAAAAGAAAATTATATAGCAATGAAAATTTCATTTGCTAATATATTTAAATTTCATTTTTTTAATGTGAAAAAAGGAAGAAAAAATTAATCCAAAAATATATTTTGCTGCATTTTTTTTTTTTTTTTTTTTAAACCATACAAAAGCAAAAAATATTTTTGAAACAAGAAAAAAATGAAAAAATTATAAAAAATTGATAAATTCATCAGCTAAAAAATTTTATTTCCAAAAGATACAAATTAATGAATTAGGGATGAATCAGCTAATACTGCAATTTTCTAAATTTATTAAAATCATTTTAATTAGTTATGCTCAAATAATTTCTTTTTTTCATTTTAATTAGTAAAAAGTGATAATTTATAGTATTAGCTAAAGAGTATTAACTTAATATATTGGTATCATAGCATCGGAAAAGATCAAAGAATTTGTTTAACCTTTTTTTTTTTTTTTAGTTTAATTTTAATTATTAGCTTTATAGCATTGAAAGATGGAAGTATTGGCTTGGTATACTGATTCAACTACATTTATTTTCATCCATTTTATTCTTCTATTGTTTTTGATTTCTAATATTTTTTATTTTGGTGTTTTATTTTATTTTTTGAGCATTTTTATATTCCAAATGATTAATGGTTGACATTTTTTTTAAATAAAATAATTTCAACTGAAATTCTATTTGTTTTCTTTAAATATTATTTTATTTTCAGCATAATTAATTAATTTTGTACACTTAAAATTGACAAAAATTCAGTATAACTTAAAATATGTTAACAAAAAAAAAAAAATTTAAGAATTATTAAAAGTTTCCTTAACATTTCAGAATGTATTCAACAAGAAAAAAAAGCTAATTTACTACTATTGGGATTTATTAGAAATTTTAATAGATGAAAAAAATTTTTCAGCAGTAAAAAAAAAGCAAAAATTAAATTGTCACTATTGGGATTGTTATGAGAAATTCAATATTTTAAAATATTTCAGTGAGAAATTGGTTTATTACAATTGGGAATTATTGAAAATTGAATATACTGAATTAATGTATTGCAATTAAGTAGTTTAAATGACAATTTGAAAAAAAAAATTCTTTTTTTTTCAAATGTTTATAAAATTGTGTTTAGTCAAATTAATGAATTCTTTTGTCTAACAAAATCAAAAAAGAGAAAATGATAGATTTTGATTAAATTAAATAAATAATAGCGAATAAATTAAAATATAAAGATATATAATAAGATGATACAAGCAATAATAATACTATAATGATAATAGTGACAATATAGTAATAATGATAATGATAACAACAGTGATAATAATGGCAACATGATAATAATATATTCTAAGAAAAAGAAAAAAGAATGAATAATAAAAACATTCTTTGTAAAATTATTTGATTAATAAATAATAGCAAATAAATTAGCTAACAAAAAATTAAGCTAATAAAAATTAGCTTTTCTTTTTGTTTACTTTTGAGTTACAAAAAATTTTATAAAAAAAAAAAAAAACGAAATAGCAATGAACTTTTTAATTAGATAAATTTAATAGCTTAAATTAAAGTAAGAATAATTCAATTTTTGTTTGATGAATGATGAAATAAATAGCAAATATAAAAGAATTATATAAATCCTACTATACAAATAAATGAAGCAAATAAATTCATTTTAAAATATTTTTAGAATTGTTTTTCCTTTTTTTTAATTTCAAATACCAGATTAAAAATTTTCAAAAATCTTTTTATTTTTAGTATTATAAAGAAAAGTCACTGTAATGTTTTGTTATTTTATCATTAATATTCAATTTTATGAATTTTTCATCTTTAATTCTTTTGTTCGCTTTTTTTTTTTTTTAATTTTATATTTCCGGAAAAATCAAAATTGAAAAAATATTTTTGCCATTGTTATTTTCTCTTACATTTATTTATGTATATGCAAAGGTATATAAATGATTTAAGACTTATTCATTTGCTTTAAAAGCTTAAAATGAAAGAAATAATAGAACAGACACACCCACACACACACATATGTACGTAAAAGAGCCATTTCGTTGATAAATTATTTGATAAAAATTATCAGCTACTAAGTTTATCAAATATTTGATAAAGGTTATCAGCCTTTAAGTTTGTCAATTATTTGATAAAAATTATCAGCTACTAAGTTTATCAAGTATTTGATAAAGGTTATCAGCCTTTAAGTTTGTCAATTATTTGATAAAAATTATCAGCTACTAAGTTTATCAAGTATTTGATAAAGGTTATCAGCCTTTAAGTTTGTCAATTATTTGATAAAATTATCAGCTACTAAGTTTATCAAGTATTTGATAAAGGTTATCAGCCTTTAAGTTTGTCAATTATTTGATAAAAATTATCAGCTACTAAGTTTATCAAATATTTGATAAAGGTTATCAGCCTTTAAGTTTGTCAATTATTTGATAAAAATTATCAGCTACTAAGTTTATCAAGTATTTGATAAAGGTTATCAGCCTTTAAGTTTGTCAATTATTTGATAAAAATTATCAGCTACTAAGTTTATCAAGTATTTGATAAAGGTTATCAGCCTTTAAGTTTGTCAATTATTTGATAAAAATTATCAGCTACTAAGTTTACCAAGTATTTGATAAAGGTTATCAGCCTTTAAGTTTGTCAATTATTTGATAAAAATCATCAGCTACTAAGTTTATCAGAAAATATCTGATAAATGTTATCAGCCATTAAGTTTTCATGTATTTGATAAAGGCTATCAGCTACTAAGTTTATCAAGTATTTGATAAAGGTTATTATGTTTATCAGAAGCCATTAAGTTTATCAGAAGATATTTGATAAAATTTATCAGCTATCAAGATATGTTTGATAAAAGTTATCAGCTGTTCAAAAGTTGATAACTGATAATTTCATGTTCTAACTAAGTTTTCCTCTACTTATTTGACAAGTGATTAACTCATATGTAAATACATGAAAAAATGATCTAATTAAGCATATATTATCAGAAATGAAATGGATTCCATTTAATTAAATACTTAGTAAAATAGTTTAAAATTTTTATGAACTTTTAAATAATAATATAAGTAAATGATTAAATAAATATTATTAAATATTAATTCAATGCGTTGATTGTTATTTTGTTATTAAAAATAAATAAATTTTGATTAAAAGATTTTTTTTTTCTTTTCATTTTTTTTTTTTTTTAATTTCAAAATACAGAGAAAAGTGAAATAAATTGACGGATTTCATTTTGTTATTTAAATGATAATAAATAAAAAAAAAAATAAAATATAATAAAATAAAATAAAATACTGACGAATGCTTTTTTTTCTCTTTCTTTTTTTTTTTAAAGTTTTATAATAAATCAAATGGAAATTTTAAATAAGTGCACGCATGAATAAGAAGGAGAAAATTTTTGAATTTTAATCATATTAAATTGATGAACCGAAAAAATTTTTAACATACGATTGAAAGATATAGTAATTGAGTTGAGAAAAAATTATAGATTTGAAATAATTTGTGATATGTTGTTATCAAGATAATTCAGGTAAAAGAAGAAAAAGTGCAGCAAATAAAATTCTTAGAAATAAATTTGAAAAAAAAAAATAAGAAAAAGATTTTTTTTTCTTTCATTATTTAAATATAAATGAAAAAATTAATTAAATAATTAATCATTTAATTGAAATGCAGTAATTAATCATTTACAATTATATTTCAATAGCAAAAAAAAAAATTTTTTTAAATAGATATTGTAAAATAATTAATTATATTTGACAGCAAAAATTTTTCCACCTGATTTTTCAATAATTAATAATATAAAGAAAAAAGTAAACAAACAACCAATTTACTTGTTGTTTTAATTAACACATAAAATAGAATTTTGCTGTACAAATAAAATGAATCTTTTTTTTTTTGTTCATTTCTTTAATTTTTTTTCTTTTTTTTTTAAATTACTTTTTATGGTATTAAAAAAAAAAAAAAAAAAAATGGCATCATAAAAGAAATCCATAAAATAAATCATTGACTAATGTGTTGTTCTACTAATAATACTAAAATGTCAGACAAAAAAAAAATGTCTGAGCTTAAAAAGAAAAGAAGGAAAAGCTTTAAAAAAAAAGCAAAGAGTAATCTTTAATTAGTTAAAAATTAAACAAAAAATTAAAGCAGTATTAGATTTTTTTTATTATTATTCTTTACTTTTCTTTTTTTTTTTTTCATATAATTGAAATTTTAAATAAATTTGAATTATTTTTCTTTTCTTTTTTTCTAAAACAGAGAGAAAGAAAAGAGCTAAAATAAAATAAAAAAAGGGAAAAACAAGACAGAAGGAAAAATTTTTTTGCACAATGTCTATAATAAAAACACAAATTTTTGCCACTTAACTCTTTTTTCAATTTATTTTAATTTTTTTTTTTTTTTGTTATCTATTTTTGGGACATTTAAGTTTATTTTTGCATAAACTTAATTTTAACTAAAAATTATTCAATTGAACATATAAAATATGCAAAGAAAAAATTTGTTAAATAAATTCGTTTATTTTTTTCAATTTTAAAATTAAAAAACAAAAAAAAAAAAACGAATGAGAATAAACTTATCATTTATACATTATCTACACTTTTTTTGTTTATTTTTCAATCTAT